ATCAAGATGATGTTTGTGCTTAAGACTGCCCTCCTTCGCCCATGGTGCACCTGCAAGCTCCAATGTTTCATCCTCTAAAAGAGCGGCCGCTCGTTCTGAGTCCTCCATGCCGGACATCGCATTAGCCGAGTCTTCGCGAATAATAGCATGGCTCAAGGCATTGGCAAACCCAATGGACTGCTGATAGTCGCCTCGTGGAAACTCAGAACCTAGTGAATCCATCGACATGGAAGTCAAGGTCTTCCCAAGGGAATGCTTGCTCCACGTACTTGACGCTGACGGTGACCAAACAGAAGACTGATCATCAAGACTAGTACGGCTTGAGCCGATATTTGAACTTGGATACAATCTTGGACGAGACCTAGGTTTTGAGGACCACCGAGCGGTTGATAGTCGATTCTCCATGTGCCGGCCTCGCGGGCAAATGTCGGACCCACTTTTGCTCAACGTGCTCGGTGTGCGACGGAGCATATTGCCAGTCAGCGTTAAGAAGTTGTTCGAAGGATGATGAGGTTCCCCAGCTTCTACAGTTGCACCTCGGAGGGGCAGTCTCTGCTTATGGATAGAGTTATAGAAGTCTCTGAGAACGGATTCAATTTGAAATTCCCAGCCCTTTTGTGTGCCGCGGAACGGCGTGGAAACCAAAGGACCCGAGTCGCTGGAAGAGACATCAGTATTTTGGCTCGTGCCAACAATACTTAGAGAGTTTGTTCTCGGGGTGCTCTCCGTGGGTTTTGATAGAGTACTGTGGGGAACATCCATATCTACCGAACCGTGGCCTCCATGGCGTACAGGAGGCAGAGTAGGAGACTTCCCAATGAGCGCGCCAGAGATTACGTTGGCTCCTGGGGGCTGTGCCTTGCTGGAAGCGTTTCCAGGATTTGTTCGTTCGAAAGCGTTCGGGGCGGCGTCTAAAACAACCCGCTGGATGGTGGGCATGGTATTCTTAATAAATTGACTGCGTGTCATTTTCTGCTCAATGTCCGCCATGTGAAGATCGGTATTCAACAACAGAAGAGAGTAGCATATTGTATGAACAACATCTGCGAAAAAAGAGACGTTAGTTACAATCAAAATTCATGTGACAAGCTAGATTTTTTGATGGGAATAGCGATAAACGTACCTGTTGCCTTGAAGCCATGTTCCGGATTACATTCACACCATCGTGACGAGAAAGCATCAAGAATTCTATCGACCTGCTGAGTTTCACCCTTCAGCGCAAGTCGACCGCATAGTCCTCTTAATGCTGCTAAGATATTCATATTTGACCAGTCGAAAAGTTCCATGTATGCCTTTCTCACGGCCGACCGATCCGGGCTTCCAAGCCAAGCTGCTCTAGGTTCTTTGCCTTCTGTTTCATCCTCGAATTCATCGAATATCTTCTGGGCATGCTGTCTGTCCTCTGCAGTAGGCTCCTCATTAACGGCAAGAATGGTCGTGTCGTCATTATTGGCGTCAATGGGGTTCCTCTCCACTTTTATTTCCGTATGGATCAGAGGTAACGCCTGCGACTTACTATCTCTGGTCCTGTTCTCATCATCTGGGATTATCGGAGTGTTCGATGCCGTGTGATAGTTGGACACAGTGGACAGCGACGCCCGAGGAGACGTAATCGGCCCTTCCAGCGGTAGACTCAACTTGTTACGCCCATCAGATAAATGTTCAACAGGAGAATCAGATTCCTGCCAGGCCTTCTCCTGCAGATGCCTCGTAGGATGTGCATGATTATCCCCAGTTAGAACATGAGTTTGCACATATGACGAGCCGTGTTCGGATTTGTTGTACGATACTGAAGTAGACAATGAAGCCGTAGAAATGGACAATCCATCAGTAGCCCCATGCATGCTTTGTGATAATTGTAGGTGCGTTGGTGAAATTGCGTGTGATGCATGGGAGCCGTTGGCGCTTGTTTTCTCCGACGAATGTGAGCCACTGATAAATTCGGCCGATTGTCCTACTGGCATTAGTTTCATATGGGTTGGCGTATTGGGGCTAGTCATAGGGCGCCTGGTTCGATCACTGGAATATGCCGGATCCGCTCCCTCGTTTACACTGCTCCTATCGGTCAGGAAAGAATCATCACGGTCATGAGAAGATACGTTTGGATTGAGTCCGGATTTGAAATTAAGCGAGTTTAGCATTCTTGGTTTCTGGGTACCGGGATTGTTCTCTGGGTTTGCAGACATCATCTCGTTGCTCATTACTTCCACAGGGCCATGTTTAAAGTCAGCGAGGGATGGCTGTTCGCCGCCTGAAACTTCATTATCTGCATTGTCCATCGCGGGGTCGTGGTCAACCTCATGTGATGATGTGTTTGTCAAGTAAGGATCCATAACCTTCCTGAGACTGCTAACTGGGCTTGGTTCTGGGCCCAAATCGCCACGTAAATGATCAACTTTAAAGTGTTCTGGCTTCGAACTACAAAGAGATAGTTTCAGCGGTGGTGGGACATGATCCGGAATGGACTTCTTCCGGCGACGGAAGAAGGATGATGGCTTTTTAGTTATTACAGGAGTGTTTTCGCGGCTTGACACGTTGTTTCCAGGAGATGAGTACTCCTTCATTGATTGCTTCTGTCCTTTGGAGGAATTAGGAGCACTGTGATGCTGCTCTCTTTGCTGTCGAGGGGTCTCATTTTCTTGGTTATATGAAGCGCCGACTTCAGACCGCGATAGGGGCTGGGACTTTGAAGAACCGCCACCAAAAACCCGCCGGAAAAACCCCGGTCGTTCTTTTGGTGTGGGCGGTGGTGGAGTATTGTTGATGACCGGCTGGGGAGAATCATAAGCAGGTTTATGGAATGCAATTGTTGGGCTAGGAGCAGGTTGGTGAAGGGAATAGGTCGGCATAGAGGGAGGAAAATCCGGGATAGGGTCACGATGGTGTCTCGACTCGTTTCCACGCCCTCGGATAGTTGCGGTTCCGAGAGTATCAGAACGTCCATTCTTCGTGTACATGCTCCTAGCTGATTTGCTGCTGCGCTTACGGGATAAGGCGGGGCCCCGGGAGCTGCTGGGAGCGGTTCTATTGTAGGCCAATTCGCGCATTGGAGGGGAGATATTGCGTCGGGGGCCTACAGGAATGCAAGGGGTAGGAGCTGCGTCGATGTCATCGTAATGAAACCCGTTGTAATGAACGAAGTCTTCAAACCCACCTCGATTGTCCGTCAGTGGCTGCGAGGGGGGTAGGGTGGATCCGTAGTCAAAGCTAGCGGACCGTCGCTCCGTGTACTGTCCCAGACGACCACCAGCTGTCATTTGATTAAAGTCAACACTGGAGGAGCCACTGCTTCGACTACTGGTCTTAGTGCCGACTCTGGATGTTCGATGAGTAGGCGGTCGATCTGCAATGTTCGATCCACGTTGAGCATCATACGTCTTGTTACGCGTACTCATACTCTCTCCAACCCCACGAACACTGTCAATTCGCCGAAGACCAGGATGGTAGTTAGAATTGCTGTTACTCCGGCGACCACGAGTAGATTGGCTAGAGTAACGGCCAACATTATCCTCCGAGTGTACTTCAATATCTGAAGATATAGAAGAAGAGAACGTGTCGCCTCGAGGTCGACTAGTCCTCATAGAAGAGTACCGTGTATAGATTGGGTGCGTTTCCTGATCCAGGCTGGTACCGAACAGGCGGGAGTTATCATGTGGGTCACTGACCGAAAACTGGTCTAGGGACAAAAGCATGTTATCTACTACCGACGTACGCGTAACGTGCTTGGGGGAGAGGGATAAGTCATGAGTATCATGATCATCCTCTTCTGAGTCCGGGTTGCCATGGTTATCAACGGGGGGGAAATCGTCCAGAAATGTTTGGCGGATGGGGGGCTGCAGCATCCAATCTCCCTTTCGCATGGTTTTGTATTTGTTGCTTTGGGGTGGCGGTGTTCGCGGCGGAGACTCGCCAGAGTACGTGTCGTACATTTGCGGAGCTCTAGAAGATGAGGGATATGCAGGTATGGCTCGTTTCTGCGGTCTTGGATGTTCAAAGGCCATGACGTTTGCAGGAGCGGGTGGGAGTGGCAGGAGTTGCAGGTAAGAGAGTCCAGTTAATCCATGCCAACAAATTCCCAAGTTATGTTAATGCGATCATCCGTATGCAGTGCAGAGAAAAGCAAGAGGGCGGCGATTGGCGGGTATTTTTGAGCCCCTTCTCCAACCTACGTCCTTTGTCAGACACCTCGTTCTTGCTGACTCGAAGAAATGTGAAGGGTTATTTAAAGAATTAAACTCGAAAAAAAAATCGCCACGGCAATTTGGCGATGGTCAAGTGGTAGAAAGCAGTCGTATTGTTCCGTGTCGAGATGCGGAAACGGATTGAAAAGAGGTCAGATGCTTGAGGCAATTAATTACTAGGTCAATGCGGCGAGGAAAGCGGTAATGATGCATGCATGGCACTGGCACAGCGTAGATGTACTTTGAAGAGGGGATGAACAGCGAGCGTTGATGACACAGCATAAAAACCCTGGTAATTGTTAGCTAACCGAATAGAACCGGTGTCAGCAGTGTAGACCGAAGCTAGCGAACTCAATTGGTCTCAAAGGAAAAGGGAAAAAAGGAAAAAAGTAACGAATGGATGTTAATAGGGGAGGAAAATGGAGGTAAAGGCGGACGAGTGACAAAAGCAAGGTCTTACTTTGTTGACAAGGGCCAAATAACTGCATAGAGGTGGACAACTGCTCCGCCAGTGATATACCTAATTGCAGCTGGAGCCAACGGACCTGGTTGGGTGAACAACAAAGGAGGTAGCCGGTGACACTTTCAAAAGGATCACTGAATGCGTTGGCTGGCAAAAATATTACCGGAAGCAATTGGGCGGGCCGCTGCCAAAGAAGAATGATGCGCGGTTCCCACTCCCACGGATCCACAGAAGCACGGATAGAAGAGTATGGGGGGAGGAGAGGAAATGGGGAGAGGAAGTAACAGGCTGAGCAACTTGAAATCAAGGCTCAACAACCATTGGGAGAGAAGGCAATCCGACCCACGCGCCGGGAGTCAGTCCGAGCGTCCAGTGGTGAGTTTTGAATGCGGAGAGAGTTTGTCGGGAAGTGGAAGAAGAATCTTGGAAGAAGTCAAGAAGCAACCGACGAACCCTGGAGGAGTTGCGAGGTTCCGGTGTTTCAGCCGCGTTGGGGTGGAGAGGAGCCGAGAGTCACGGGACTGGCTCAGGAACATCCATGGATCTACGCTACGCCGGGTCTGGACTAGTGGGGATTCCAGTCGTTCAGTCTATCGCCGATACCCGCCTGTGATTGGCTAGAAGGTTGCCTGCCCCTGATTCCCCTTTTCTGCCAAGCTCCACCAAGCCCTTGGGTATAAAATACTGTACATAAATACCAGAGGCAAGATTGCACCACAGCAGCAGTGACGGAGTCGTCTGAACTTTCTAGTCAGAATGAATACAGCAGTGTATTATGAGGTTATTTATACAGAGGCCGCTGTGCAGCGTCCATCGAAGTTCACCGACTTCTGCTACCCACCTTGATGCTGCAGAATAGTTAGTCGATGTTTGATCATTCAACTAATTGATTACACTCCTGCAGCTAGTTACTCTGAAATTAAGTGTCCGCCACCAGCAACGTGCAATATACTTCCTTGCTCCCCATTTATTCTCTCTTCTTTTTGTTGACGCCCCCGTGTTCTGAGGGCTGGGCGTTGAGTGGTAGCAGGCGTCAAGCGGTGGATTTCGTTAGTGGGTGGTGTGCAGTGGTAACCCTCGGTATCATTATTCCTTGCTTGCGTCTCCAGGAAGTCAATCCTCAAGATCCATGCTGCCGCGAACGCCAATAATATAAATCCGACGCTGGTGCTGATAAATTTTGTCGCCTCTTCTATTTCTGCTAGTAGGGAAACATGTTCATGGATCATGACAGAGCAGTTACTGCAAAATCACCTCCCTGTATGGACTTGACTTCTACGTAATACATGCATATAAAATACAGTACATCCTATGTCGCCATACTCCTATGCAGTCATACTCCTGTGTGAATGGACACGTAGGTATGTGCACCCCTATCAATATCCTAACGAGCCTTGCCACCATCAAATGCACGAAAGCAGACAAGACCGATCGACACGTCCAGGTACAGTAGTATGTACATATATCTGGGGTGCGGTAGGAGGTAAGCCGCATACAAAACTCCAGTAGTTTCCCTTCCTATGCTGCTATGCAAGTTCAGATTGACTTCTTAGCGGAATATTTCTTCTTTCCTCTTTTTCATTATTTCCTCGGCGTGAATCCCCCCCACAAATTCGTAACTTATCCATTCATTCTGTTATCTCTTGCACAGTGTACATATATATGCTGACAATATCTCATATATACCCGTATGTCCATGGCTGCAATTAGCAGCCAACATATACCCTGCCGCTGGATTAACTGAAAAGTCCATTTGCTCCGAAATCTCCTAGATACCTCATAAAACATGGCTACTCGCGACTGGGGACGAGGGATGTTATATAAAACCTTTGAGAAAAAGGGGGAAAGGGGAGATTGACGGAGGAAAAACTAACTTAGCGAAGAGTGACTAGATGGATGGATCTTTTCGACTTATGCTCGGTATTACTGCTCGACTTTATTAGTAGGATGAATGGCGTTGATAGATAGACGTGGAAGATGAAAGTTTTTCTTCTGCTCTTTTTGTCCTTCAAATACACAACAAGTATACCATTTTTCAAGACCTCACTGAAAATATGAACACGAAGAATCATCCGTGAAAAATGAAAGACGAAAACAAACTTCAACTTTCAGGGCTTGCTATCTCCAAGAAAGGTGAGGGCTGCAATTTTGTACCTGGAAGTCGACACATGAAGGGGGTGTAGGTTGTGAGAATTCTTGGAGGTGGAGCGGAGTTAGATAAACGGCAAAGATAAATCATAACTGGATATACGAATCAATGATGTTCGGTCTTTCCCTTACCCCCTCCACCTCTCTTATGGAAATACTAGCAACCGTTGATGGATAGTACTAGTGCATCAGAGCCCGCCATTTCGTGTCAGAGAGAGGTGTTGCAAGGGACACTATTAAGAATACAAGAGGCCAGCATGAAGTGGTGAGGCATCAAATATGTTATTCTGCTGTTTCATTATCAACTGATAGTACTCCACGTCTTTGCAGTTGATAATAAAACGAAAGAATAATCCTATTGAGATTCCCCATTGTTCAAGCGGCTAATAGACGACCTTCCGATTCCCCACAAAGCCCGTGACCAATGAACTCTCCTGCCGCGCTAAGCAGCGCCACGATGGCTAACAAAAATGCATCGTGGCTCAAGATACCGTAAAAAGCCCATTTCAACTCCGCCGCAACGAGGGCTTCTATACTTCCAACTTCTCCCTCCCTCCGAATCTCAGCCTAATAGTATTTCCCGCGTCCCTCCTCTCTCTCTCCCGCCACTGTCAGAACCTCTATCCACGAGGGGTCATGAACCCTCACATCTCAGTTCCCCGGCAACATGCTGGCCCAGCCAACTTCGGCAGCACAGCTCCGCGGCGGGAGTCGTCGATACGCATGCCTAGATTCTTCCGGAGGTCAGGCGTTCTTCCCTCTTTTAGTTTATTTTTTTCCCCCATCTTTGTGTGTTTTCAGATTGATGATTTCACAATCCTGGTTCTTGGAACGTCGTTGCTTGCCTCCGTACTTCTGTGCAGCAAGCCTAGGTGAAAGATGGAGACACAGGAGACGGAACAGAGCTATATGCCGGCAAATGCAATGACGCCCGATGCGTAAATTACCCTGAGCTGATTCTAACGGCATCGATATTCTATAAACAGGCTATTTAAATTCCCACAGATGGACTTCGAAATGGCCATCTGGGAAATGACATCGCTGCTTATAGCGCCTAAGAAGGTGTTCAAATCTATGTATTATCATGTTAGTTTATTTTTCCCCTTCTTGTTATTTATATATTTATTTCTTTTTATTCACATGTCCGTGCTGCTTGCTGGGGACTATCTTCTCCTCTATCCCTATCAACAGGGCATTACACACCAATACTAACGTGAAACCGCATCAACGCAGAAACGTGAATATATCAATCTATACCCCCTATATACATGACCTTCGAACATACTAAGCTAGCGAAAAACTCATCCAGAAACAAAAAATACTTGGCACCGGCCTGACCCCTCCTTTACATACCTCCTTTCCTTCTTCCTCCTCATCACAGCCTTTGCCTGGGGTCTAGCATACACCCCTTCATTTGGTGCCCTAGTCCGATTATCCTTCCTCTTTATATTCGTCCACTTTATCGGCTCCTCGCTACTCATTTCGACAGTAGCTTATTTCTTCGTCAGCCGGCTTTTTGGACCGAGTGGGCCGGCAGCGAAAATCGGCGAGCGGAGGGGTAGTAGGACTATTTTAGGCAGGACAAGACGCCGCGGCGCGGCGCAGGGGCTATTTGCCCAGCCAGGCGAGAAAGAGCAGGTTGAATTTGGATATTGTTTTGATGTGGGTGATTCTCCCCAATACTACTGCTGGCTACACGACCACCCCCAACTTGGCTAATAAGTGTTTTTTCCCCTTTCTCCCTTTCTTTTGAATACCAGGTATCGAACCGCGCCTTCTTCCCACTATACCTACATCTATACGTTCTCCAATTTCTCCTCCTTCCAATCCTGACACGAAACTCATCATCCTCCGAATCGTCGCCAAGCACGCTCGCCACCGTCCTCGGAAACACTCTGTATCTCTCTGCACTTACGTATTACACCTACATCACCTTTTTGGGCTACAACGCCCTGCCATTCCTCCATCATACCGAATTGTTACTTGCCCCGATCCTTATTTTTGCAGTACTCTGGCTGGTGAGTCTGATAGTCGGATGGGGAATAGTCGGGCAGGGGATGATCGTGGAAGGGATGTTTTGGGGCATATGAAACGCTTAATGGAATCTGCTTGACGAGCAGCTATGGCTTGAAATGGGGCTGCCCGTCGTGGAGTATGGTAAGCTGAAATAAGCAGAAGAAAGAGAGAGAGAGAGTGAGTGAGTGAAGGAAGTGTACGACAAGGTCAACAGTGAGGCATAGGAGAAGCAAAGCAATAAACTATGGAAATATGAAATTCTACTACTGGCATGTGTGGACTGATGGATACCAGTCTTCTTACTCCCCTAAGCGTGATGCATATGTACGTATGTACTCTATTTTTCCCTTTTATTCCAATAGGGATTAAGTAGTACCACTTGCATGTTTTTGTTTTATATTTCTTTGATTTAACGGCGCATATCCTTGGCTATGGGTTTGGAAATGTAATAACCATTAATTTCTCAACCTTGGGGCCGGTGAAAAATTAACCATACTATATATCTCTCCATTGCCAAACACCTTCCAAGTAACAAACTGACGAGATCACAGTGCCGAGTTATTACATAATGCAGCAGCGACTTCTGCTGGGGGTTTGGACTGGTTCGTCCTCTCTAACTTACTACCATCATGGCGCTGGTGGTGATCGATCTCTTTTGCCCCAGCGGCCTAACACATACATTACTCGTATTGCTCATTTGAGCTACAATCAGATGATATCATGCTCGGCGGATTCCTCCAGGGCGAAGAACAATATTGGTGCCTTTACTTACGGGACATCGCGAATCTCTTACAGTCATGGCTTCGGTTGAAATCAAGCTCCTGTCTGCCCGGCACAGCCAAAGGGATCCTATTCGTGATATCACGGATATCGGCTGCTTCTTTAATACCACATTGGCACTGATTCTGAGATAAAATGTTTTCACGCAAGATCCATTCAGGAATGAAGAGTTTGACCCCTCGACCATTGATATTCAACGTCTTCACACGATTGGGGTCTACGCCTAGCAGATAAGTGCCGGCGCTCTTCGTAATGGCGTAGTCGATGTTCGGTGAATCAAGTTTCTGCGCTAGCGCGGAAACATTGGTTCTCAGGTTTTGGGAAATGAGCGGCGCCATTATACTTCATATCTGTAAGTGTGCCATTCCAATGAGCTAACGAAGACTAGCAACACTTATGGGGTGGAGTTATGTGTAGAGAATGGAACCCTTCCAAGTGTAATTCACTGCGACCCGCCTCACCTGGTCTGCTACGAGGGGTCTATATTGAGACTCGATTTTCCACGAACACACCACCAGAATGAGATCTCAACTGTCTTGCGAGATGATGGCGTTGCGACCTCTACATTTGCTCCTTCATCAGGCGGTGATGTCTCAGCACTGCTGTTATTCTGATCTTCTCCAGTGGTAGCAGGAGTCTGTTCTTTGGGAGAACCTATATACATGGTTTCTTGCCAGCGGAATCGACTCGTTCAGGGTACTGTGATATATTGAGCTCCGGAGCCTCTCCTGCTCCTACTTGTCATCCAGCTTCTCTTACTCTTGGTGTTCTTGTCAGGGTATAACTCCTCATACTCAGGCGGTTCCGTGATGAAGCGCCGCTTTCGGGCTCTCGATCAAAATACCTAGTGGAAGAGTTCCTGACATTCGGCGTTCCAGAGACATCTCATTGCGAATAGCCGGACGTTGACCAGATGGGTCATGTGGGATCAGACAGCGGTAGCATCCGGCATTAGTTCGCGCTCGAAGATGTCTGGTTCCGGTGATTTTTCGGGATATGCCATTGACTCTGGTTGGAGCACTTCCGTACTTCTCGGCACATGTCCTCCCGCTGTCACCTCATCCTCTTGTGATAGTTCCGGCTCCGCAGCCTAGCCCGTGATCTCCATGTCTATCCGCTTCGGATCCGAGTCCTGGGCCCCGAGCGGATCAGCGTCGGGAGGCACCAGAGCACTGCATTTTTCATCCGCCATGTCCTGATCCAGCTCCATCAGCTGCTAATTTGATTCGGCGGTCCCATCGACCTCGCAAGGCCCGTCGTTCAGTTTTCGGGGAACATGTTCCGAACTGCCATCCGGAATGAACAGTGGCGACATGGAAACTTCGAAACATTGTCAAAGAGGACGAACTTAATGCAGCAGCGGACCAAGAATGTGATGACGGTGTCGGTCCCCGACACCACATCGTCGTGCACATGAGTGAGGAAGGGAAACGGACTGTCTTGTCTGTGCTTGCACGTCTACAGCATACTGCAAAGCACTCGCCGCTTCACATTGCTGTTAGCAAGAAGTTCAGATGCCTTGGCAAACTGGTCAGGGACTGCAGCCGAAAAACAGGCAACATTTTTTTTTTTTTTTTTTTTTTAGCCAATGAGTGTACAAACACGCGATGGCCGTATTGAAAGTGACTCATTTTTCAGGACAGGAGCAGAAAAGTTCACACTATCAGCCAGTCAGAAGACAGGCACATCAATCCTTTGATCTCATCGGACTAAAATCCAACGCAGTGAGCCAGTTCAGCCATCTTGCACACCCCACACTCATAAGCCTTGGCGCGATTCCGTTTGGCTAACAGCTTGTCTTCATTCTTTGGGTTAGGCGGTGTTGAGGGAGAACGGCGCATGGCATAGAGCCAATCTGTCAGTGCATCCAGCTTGAGATGATTGTTACTCATTACACGCATCTGCCAGAATGCCAACTCCAACATCTGAATGAGACACTGTTTCTTCATCTCAGCAGGCGGAATGAACATGTGCTCCATGATATTCCCAATAAACGTTTTCAACGGACCGAAGAATTATTCCACACAGTGAGCACAGTATTTCTTGGTGCTTGAAGTCCCCAAAGAACATGTGCAGGCAAGGCATCAGCCTGCTGAACCCTTCCTGCAGTCTTAAAGACTTAGCACTATATTAATATGCTGTTACGCTTTTTGATATACTATATTTCAATCTATCTTCAATTTCTGTTTTGAAAAATTGAAAAAAAAAAAAAAAAAAAATTGTCTTGGATACTATATTCCCCTTTACTATATATTCAGATTTATTTTAAAATATTAAGTATTGGTGGAGTTGTTTCATAATATATGATGTTTTCATACTCTAGCATAGCAATCTATCCGGGTGGAAATTTTTATATTTTCCCGTGGTCTGGCAGCATTTTTGTTTTTTCAAGTAATCCGTCTGCCACGATAACTACATAAAGTAGCTTCAACAATAATAAAAAATTTTAAAAAAACATGAAACCAAGATCAGCCATTTAAAAGGCAACAGTAAGACAGTGCCTGGGAGGATTGAGATGGCGAACCAACTTCCAAGTAAACAATGGGAAGAAAGGTTTTCCATTAAAATTTGTGTTCCATATTTGAAATAACGAAAGCAAAATGCCGGAAAGAGAGAATAATTGAAGGAACAAGCGATCAACAAGCTAGATCAAGGATGCAAGATGCGTCATAAAATGCCCCTCACGGCAACCATGCAAAATGGCATACGATATATGTATATAAAGAAGCACGAGACAATCACATATATCATTCCTTCTTCTTTGGCGATCCTTTCTTTCCCTTCCCCGCAGGTCCCAGCGCCGCAGACCGCAACTTCGTTTCCCTCTCCTTCGCCTCGGCCTTTTCACGCTCTCGTTCCTCCCTCTCCTCCTTTTCAGCCTCCTTGCGCGCCTTCTCCGCCTCACGGCGTTCTTTGACAAGCGCCAGGCGGGCGAGGTCGGCGCGGGCCTCCTCAGTCTTGCCTTCGGCGTGCAGTTTCATGTACCGCTCGCGCGCCTGCTGCGCATGGATAGCTTCCCTCTCCCGGCGAGAGAGCTGTGACATATCACCGGATTTTGCATCGGCGGATGCGGTGTCCCCATTGGCTAGTGCGGGTCCCTTCGCGGCTTGAGAGCGTGATTTGGCGGTATGATTGGGATTAGCGGGCATGTCGTCATCGTCTTCATCTTCGTCATCGGATGGGGGCAGGTCACCCGGGGCGACCTTGTTCTTTTTGGCAATGGCAGCTTCCTTTCTGGCTTTTGCGGCGGCTTTGCGTTCCTCGCGGGTCATCTCTTGCGTGGATGAAGACTGGCCGCGACCCGACTCCCCCTCAGACTCTCCCTCAGACTCCTCCTCCTCGGAACCTTCTTCTGAATCCTCTTCTGATTCATCTACGACATCATCCGGGTCCTGGAAAGGTGCAGCAGTACGTTAGTTTTCAGCCTGATAACCACAAATTTCAAGCGGTTTCAATGAAAATAATAATATTAATAATAATAATAGAGGTTTGCAAAAGGGGGGGGAAGACATTCTCGCATACCCGCCACATGCCAAGAGGATTTCCATCTTTGTCTAAAGGTTGAAGATTACGGCTGAAGTGTTTGCCTCCTAAACGGGCAACAAAAAATTGGGTCACTATCATATCCAACTGGTCATGGCGGGGTAGTTCGGAGACCAAAACACATACCTCCTCGAGTTGGTTTACTGAATTTTCCTCCACGTCCTCGGGGGGCCATATTGAAGAACTGGCTGAAGGCGTACAATAGCTATCGTATTAAAAATAAAAATTGAAAAAGAGAGTTTCCACAAAGAACGGTAGCAAAAAAGCTGGGAGCGAGGGGTAGATATCCCAGTATGTATGCACTTGAATGCGGGGTGGTTTTTTGCATAGATTTGAACCGGTGTTTGCTAGGCGGAAACTGGAATACAGGATCCGAGTATATAGCAGCTGAATCGGCAGTAGCGGTATACTCTCACAGGTATTCTCAGCCTCGAATAGAAAAAGAAGAGAAATCTCCGTCACAACATAGAGAGCAGAAGATATATATCAATCCATGGGCGTGGGGGAACGCCGAGAATAACGTGACTTGACACATCACCATTCATCCTGACTCAGCAAGAAGCACTCAGGGGCAACGAAAACGTTTACACGCAAAACACGTCGATGGGCTTCTGTGAAGAACTAGAGACCTACATAGCATTAACAACCCCCCCTGCTCTTGCCCTTGTATTGTGGAGTTGTGGACGTGCATAAGTGAGGGATATCTGCTGCCTTCTGCAGGACTGCTCCGATTCATGGCCTCTACAAAACCCAATTTTCATTCAATTTTTTGTATATCACGAACGCCTATCAGCCACGCTCATATCAAATATATATTCCAGCCGTTTTTGTAGGCAAGGACAAGGGCAAGAGACAGCACGGGAATCGGAATCGGAACCAACCCGTGCCGCCATGACCCATGAAGGTGTATATGGAAATCAAAAACCTGCGTGAAAGAAACAACCACAAAAGAAGAATCGTACTCGTGAAGGTCTATACACAAAACCAGTCTTCTCCAAGGCGAGAAATACCCGAATAAATTTCAGATCCTCACCATCAATACTGGTCCCGTAACTGAAATCCTTGCACACACCAATACCATGGACCCTACCAACATCGAAAGACCACCAAAAAGTTGTGCATACAGATATTTGCCATCATTCATCTGAATCAAAGCCCCTGCGATCGGTGATCCCGTTAATGAAGCGAAGCTAACAATGCTTAGAATCATACCGAAACGAATGCCGGTCTTTTTTAGATCAGGAGACAGGGCCGACAAGCATGCAGGAAACAACGATTGAATTCCTGCTGCGAAAAATCCATATAGAATGGAGAATGCATACAGCCCGTTGACATCATGGATCCCTGCCCAGCCGAATAATAGGATACTTGAGAGAAAGGAACACGGGATAAAAGCATTGAACGGGCCCGAATAGTAATCCGACATGAAACTCGGCACCAGCCGGCCGATGAATCCGACGCCGTTCAGAATTAGCAAAAGATCTATCGACTTTTTTCGTGAAAGGCCGGTGATGTCGCGGCCAAAACTGCTGAGATAGAAAAAAGCAACATAGAGACCCCAGAAATTAAGGAACATAGCAATTGCAAACAGAGAGTATTTCCTCTCCTTAAAGGCAGGCCAGTCGAAAAATGGCCCGCTTTTGCGGGGAGGGAGTCGTTGTCGCAGGAAAATGAAACAGGGAGTCAACGTGGAAAGACTGAAGAAACCCAAAACACGCATTGTCCAGGGATATCCGATGCGGGGGAGCAGCGACTGTACGATTGCGGGGAAAATAATACCTCCAGTTGCAGAGCCAGCAGCACTGATTGCCAGAGCGATTGCTCGCTTGGAAGAGAAATACGTGGGAATTAATGCTATTGTAGGGCAGAAGAGCAGTCCGCAGCCGATGCCCATGCACAGTCCTTGGGAAAGGAAAAGTTGCCAATATGTTGTGGCTAGCGAAGTCATGAAGATCCCCAAAACCAGAAGTATAGCGCCAATCGTCCATACAGCCTTGAAATAGCCGGCGTCGGTTGCACGGCCGGAGAAGGTCCCGATGAAGAAGAGAAGGAAGATTTGAATGCTGCCTACCCAGGATATATCTGATGGCGACCGTTGCAGGGATGTCATGTAGTGTGACTGGAACACACCGAAGCTGTTGAGATAGCCCCATGTATTGCACATCACCAAATGGCTCAAACACGTTTGGAACCAGGCATTAAAGCCTCCATCAGGTGGAGGGCCGGGGTCAATTCCAGAGTCTTTTGTCCGGATGAGCGAAAGCGTCTTTCCTAACACCCCGTCGTTACCGATCGGATTTGCAGCAGTTGGCGTGCGAGATAGACCGGGTGAGGCGCATGTAATTTGGAGATTATCGTCGTAATCGCGATTAGAGGAAGCCGATGATGCAATATTGGGATCAGTCCCCTTTTCAAGGTCCGTTGGCGGACTGATCTCAGGCAGAGATTTTTCCATCGTCTCCATATTTCACCTGGGGAGTTCACGACTGATTTTGTATGGCTTTGTATTCATCGATCTCGGTCTGCACTGGAAAATTTGTCCGGGAGTTAAACCATTGGGATAAAAAGGTTCTTCCTGAATAGATAAACCCGGATGCTTTTCAAAACCAACCAGGGCGGCTCGGAGGCAAATTAATATACTGTCGGATCCTAGTAGATTAGCCTGATATCTGTAACTACCTCTTCTCTCGAAGATAGCGATATTGATTCGGAGAAACTCTTCCTCTTCCTCTTCCTCTTGTTCTACTCCTCCTCCTTCTCGGTCTTGTTCTTGCGGTATTAGACTAATATTATAATAATTGGAGATTGTGCTGGAATCTGTGGCTCGATTAGCGGACATTCCCTTTTGGATTTGATCAAGAAGGTAAAAGCAATGCTCTCGTGGATATGGAAATAGAAGAGGGAAGCATACCTAATGCAGATTATCTATCGACGAAGAGAACGAAAGGGTCCACCAGAATATGCCAAAATAAGAGTTGCTGAGATGGAAAATGCAAAGGAAGGAGGAAAAGACGCTCTCTGGTGGATCGTTGATGGGAATTATGTATCCAAAAAATGGGAAAAGAAGACTCCCAGGGGGTGGAATGGTCTTAATTATTGCACTCTGGGAAAATAAAGGTAGCATCAACATAAAAAATAGAGGTGGAATATCTCGGGTTGCTGTTTATCCCCGTGTCTTGTCCTAAGAGTACTTCCAATACTAGTATTCAACAAGGGAAGACGTAGTTACAGCAGCTTGGAAGTAATGAGGGAATCTTGACTGCTTTCCTCACAGATCCAGCGAGGCAACAAAGTCTCCCAGGGGAGCAGGAAAGAACGATTGTTTGAAAGAGTGGATGCAGAATATCGAGGGATGCTCCCCAGAAAATATATAGACCTGAATGGAAATTGGAAAGCGAACAAAATGCCACATTTTCTCTGTGGCAAGAGCGGGGCCCCTGTAAAATTGGACTTTTACCACTAGGTTAAAGTGAGAATTCCCCAATTAACACAGTATTAGGTTCACAATTTTATGCCTTGAAATCTAGCAGTTTCCATACCCTTTTCATACACCGCAGGCCCACATCGAGGGCAACATGAGATAAATAAATCCATTCTCGCGCCGGGAATGTTGCAACGAACGAACGGCACAAGACCCTTCATTCTCTCCCTGCTCCTGCATGCTCCTCCTGCACACTCCGGCTCGGGGAATTTTTTGGCCTATTGTCCATGCGATGAAAACGCGGGGTCATGTCGGCTGTAGGGCGCAAACAAGCGCCCTTCTCCCCACGCTGCTGTCGCTAGTTTCCAGTATAACGAGGTAATGCCCGCCGAGTTACTGCATCGGTCAAATGTTTTTAGAAACCGTTCTCAGTTCGAGCAGGGGCAACGAACTAATATTCGATTAGATCGTGTGATGAGTCAAGGTGCGCTGTGGGCCCCGCCTGAAGTCTAGAGCAAATAGCCTAGCCTCGCCTCTGTCCGTCAGGATTGAAGGATGGATACTCGGATCGTCTTCTAGTCATAGCCAGCTTCCATTTCGAAGTCTTCGATCGCCTATTTCAGAATCAACGAGCTCCTCCATTCATCCCAAACAAGCTAATTGATCCGACAGTGCTTTGGACTTACTTTTCCAGGAACCCTTCCATTCGCAGAAGGGGAAGCTTTTCCAGAGAGTCAATCTTGCTGTAGATATGCGCTGAGACCTGGACACCAGCTTCGCAAACACAAGCAGTCAATCAATCGTCTGATTCCTGCTCATTCCGGGCTTGCAGAGTAGATGTTGCATCTAAGTCGAAAGGAATGCCAGGTTGCCGAATTGAGGCGCGTTGCCCAGCGCCAAATGCCAAGAGAATGTGACTTGTTTACAAACTTGAATTCTTCGGGATACCTAGGGGATATATTTGCAAGGTTTTCCAGTTGATAGCTGAGAGTCACTTGGGACCTAACCGTGATGCTTACTCGAAATGACGGGCTTGTTATGTAGTTTATCTCCGTCCAGTAGATCAGGAAGATTCCCCAGAGAATCCCCCGCTCACGACCAAAACCAACCAGGCATTGAAAGTGTCTAGTATAAACCCTCTGTAGAATAACGTAACTGCCCTGTTGCTAAGACATCGTACTAGTTGAACAAAATATCTGATCTTCCAGCGAGAACAACTGGTTGAATTTCGCCAAATCCACAGTTCGATAGACTATGAGCGGGCATTGAATAACAATGCAGCTCAAAGTCAAAAAAAAAAAAAAAAATAACACACAGTCAAGACTAGATCAATCGTCAACGGTATGGCATTAGTAATGAAGCTTTGGCAAATTGGTCCTCAACCTTTTATTCACAGTCAATTGTTGTTAATATCTATTTTATAGGGGTATATTATTCAAGGTAGTCGTCTGTGACGCCATTCAAGTACGCTGGTATGGCAAAAGAAAAGAAAATATACGGCCCTCTTTCGTGCCTCCTTCCTATCTCTCTGATTGTTGATTTGAAACTCTTAAACGAAACTCTGATTATATTAAGCCGACAAACCACAAACCACGGAGGCTCGTTACGAAACGTTCTAGTAAAACCAATCAGCAAAGCGATGAGGAATGCATCGGCCCGCAGAGAAAATAAAGAAGCAAAGGGAATACAATGGAGAATGAGAAGCTAAATCATCGTATCCTCAGTATGCGTTCCCAAGCGGACTTAAGCGACCCAGCAGATACTCCCAACTGCGCCGGCAGCTGGGGAAAGAAATTCCGCATCACGATCCCACTTAATGCAACAGCGATCAATGAGAGCGAAAGCTTTGCTGCCTTTCTTTTCTTCTGGACAGACTTCTGGGATTCCCACTGCAGACCCCCCGCCCCAAGCACATTAGTTAGTTGTATTTACTTACTTACAGTGCATTCCGCGTTCCGCAGGCTAGACGTACCTCTATGTTCCAGTCCGACCAAATGGGGAAGAGGCTCCTGTACCACATATACGCTTGCGACCACGGATACATTGTTGGATTCCACTTGTTGCCTTGGATATACCACTAGAAGGAAATGGGGGAAGTTAGCCCACCGTTAGGGCCGCTATATTTCTGGACATGTGAAGCAAAGAGAGGAAACAAGAAATAGATACAGCGAGAGAGAGAAAAACTAGCGTAACATACAGACTGGCAACCCCCAGCATTGAAAACGGTCTCCTCTAAGGCAGCCTGAACCTCACGGGTGTACAAATCTTCAGCCTCCTGCTTGAGCTCGACGGTTGCTGCTTTTCCGGCGATTACTGGCTTCAGTATGCGAAGCGAGTAATTTATGGCACTGCGGGAGTTTTAATTTTAACTTTTGTTTTTCACTCCAGCTAGCAAAACTGCCCTCGAGAATCACCCTGTTCTTCCAGGGGGTACATTTCGCTAATGAAAGCCAACGATGAATAAGAGTACTCACTTCTCTGATGCTATGATCGCGGATGTGTGTCCCGTCGCCGAATTGGGGCCTAGCAACATGAAGAAGTTGGGAAACCCGCTGATAGCACAACTGTTGTAAGCGGTTGGTCCCGGATATTTGGACCAGTGTTCCTTAACACTCAGCCCATTTCGCCCAAAAATATCCATGCCATGGAAGAATTCGCTGGTCTGGAAACCGGTGGCCAAGACGATAACGTCGGCTGCTATGAAGCCCTTGTCAGTTTTTATGCCTTCGCTAACAATCTCCAGCGGTTTGGCATTGGTTAATGTAATATTTTCTGCGTTTAAGGACTTGAGATATCCACTACTATCAAAAATTCGACGCTGGAAAGAAAAGGGGATGATGTTAGCTCCTGCTTTCTGAGGTGGGAGGCCCTCAGAGAAAAGCGCATAATCCATTTTCAACACAAACTAACCTTGCATCCGATTTCGAAGTCAGGGATAAGGAGATCGTGGTATTTTTCCGGGGCTTTTTTCCGTATGTATTTTTCTGCCATCACGCGCCTCCACTGTCGTAGTTCCATACCCTTCTTGGTCATTTGAAACGCAGGCCAGCCACGCTCGGCTAGAAAGAAGATCAGAAACCTATGCACTCGCATTGTGAGTGGAATATACCGGAATATCCACTTCATCCATGATGAATAGCGGGGGTTGATAGTTGGGACAATCCAGTGCTTTGATCTGACAATCTGAGTAAGGTGCTTCACCTCAGGCAAAATCGAGGGGACGATTTGTGCGGCCGTGCCTGGGATAATTACGCATTCCCTATTAGCTGCCCGGGAATTTTAGAACGTATCTTTTATCTACTCACAGCCATTACCAAGAACAACCACATTATTGTCCTTTAGGTCTAGAGAAGAATCCCACTCAGCTGAGTGCATTATACGACCTTTGAACTTGGCGCTGCCAGGAATATCACATTTGCGAGGCACAACAAGCTGCCCGGCAGCGCTGAAGAGTATCTGGCATTTGTGGGAATACTCTTCTCCCGTCTTTCGGTCTCGGAGATATACCGTCCACAGGCTCGATCCGTCATCCCATTCACAGCGGTAGGCTTCAGTCGAGAAGGCAATTTTGTCCCGTAGGCAGTATTTGTCTCGGACACGGTCATGGTATGCTTTAATTTCTCCACCTGCGGACAAAAACCTTCCCCAATTGGGATCCAATTCGAAGGAGAAGCTGTATAGCCCGGTCGGGATATCGCATGCAATGCCTGGACTAACAGTTAGCTTCCGTAGGTTTTTTTTCCCTTTCCTTTCCCCTCCCTTCCCTACTTTTTCTTTTTCTTGGTGAGGGAGGAAGGAGGGGAGCTTTTGTGGCAGATAACGATATATGACTCCGACATACCAGGATATCGGTTTGCCCACCATGTCCCGCCGCTATCTGGATGGCGCTCAAATAATCGGATATCGTCGAAGTTGTGCCAGCGCTTCAGCGTCGCGCCCAGGCCTATCCCTGAGAATCCAGCGCCAATACAGGCAACTCGAGTGTAAGATGAGCGATCTTCACAGCTGGGTTTGTGTGTTGACATCGCGCTCGTGTTTCTCTGCTACATAGATCTCAGTGGAGGGTTTTGTGAATGTCTAGGTTTCCTTGACTGAGGTGACAGAGATATTTTCCTAGAAGGATAAGTTAGAAGCAACTTCAAACCAAGACGTAGCGGAGTTAACTTCTTAAGGCACAAGGCAGGCGCATACCCCTGGAAGCCAGTGGGCAGATCATTTTGTGGAACTAGCTCCTGAACGGCTTTTGCTAGGTTTTGCAGCCAAATCTGCCGGTAATTATTAGTTCACTAACATAACTAGCTCGTTATCCGCCTCCCAAGCTTCGGAGGGTGTGAGACAACGAGTAAATTTGGTGGATGGGACTAAATATAACTTCTTCTGGGCAGTTTTTGTCCCATCCTCCTCCTCGAATCCCAGAGACAAAATAAATGATCAGTCGAGGCTTGTTGAACTTGCAACCTTGAAGCCAACCCAACCACGCCTTGATGACTAACTTATGGCTAGATGGAATTTAGTCCTGGCCAGCCACTTCCCTATTCTTGACATTAACCCGTCCTTGTGTCACTCGAATATGAAAAGATCTTCAATACCCCATCCTACAGATCTGCTGTTGTAGATCAGGATGTGAAATATACTCTTGACTAACTAGTCACTAACCTAAATACGCGCCATGTCCGCTGCAAGTCCACTATTTGCGATACGCCCCGTCCGCTCTAAAGAGGATCTCTCCGCGGCCATCGCGCTCATTAAAACCTACACAGGGGGCCTGGGCATTGATCTCTCATATCAAGACTTCGAAGCTGAAATGGCCTGTATGCCGGGCAGTTACGCACCGCCGTTCGGAGAGTTACTCATCGCCGTAGCAAATCAGCAAGAGAAAGAATCATCCCAAACCCCGAATGACACTCCGCAAACGCTAGGGTGCATAGCTCTTCGCGAACTCCATCTACACGGGCATGGAGATATTCATGGGCGTGTGCCCCTACAACCGTCGGTACAAGAGGGGAAAGCCGCCCGTGTCACCTCCCAGTTGCACGCTGGACCTGTCGGCGAAGCCGACGACGGTAAGCCTCCCGGGCCTACAACTCGTAAACCCGACACCAAATATTGCGAGCTGAAGCGGCTCTACGTCACGCCAGCGGCGCGAGGATTGGGCGTTGGCAAGGCGCTGGTAAACTCCATGCTTACCGTTGCACATCGGATCGGATATGAAGAAGTAAGACTTGATACGTTGTCTGAGATGCGAGAGGCGATTTCTCTGTATAAAGGCTTGGGGTTTGGGGCTGTAGAGAAGTATTATGAGAGAGCGATTGAGGGGACGGTGTTTTTGGGGTTGAAGCTCTTGCAATAGGGAGCGAGTAAAGGGGAATGGGATGGATTGTAAAATTTAAGACACGCTTCGAAATACGCTGCTTTGCATTGGTGATTTTGATTCCTTTGATATTGATTCGATTCGATTGAATTTCTTTTTCATTCATTCCTTTTTTTTTTTTTTCGTTATTTATTAGACGGCTGTGGTAATAGTTATATACCATCTCTGCATAGATTTTAGGACAAACGACCCTTACATTTGGCCTCGTTTTAAACAAGGTTTATATCAAAGTACCACTGCCATTTTTCCCTCGTATTAACTTATTTTGCTTTCTCATTTCCATCCGTGCGGCCATGGTTATTATGATATATGTACCTATGTACAATAATCAAATGCTTTTGAGTAATAAAATGTTTGACAAGCGGCGGGGCACCTAGTGGTACGCAAAAAGTGCATGAGCATTCAATTCAATCCAAAACAAGACGGTATTTTTTGAAACTGGGGATTTATTCGCCATCTAGTGAAAGCTTGATGCCCACGGGGGTGTGTAGGGTAGGTAGAAAAGTCATGAATGCATCGGATTAAGCGAATCCGGACTGCAACAATGGCATCTGCCAATAGGACGGTTGGCGCTACGAAATGGAACGGAAATTTTGGAGAGTTTTAATGCATAGATAGCCGTATATAGTGTAGATATTGAGATGAATGTAACTCCCTGCACTGACCGTGTAAATGGCCAAATAAAAACACAGAGGGATGGAACGGGACGGCGGTCTTGGCCTATATGTGCAATTAGAGGAAAAGCTCAAGCTCGAAGTTTGTGGGTCGAGCTTGAAACACCGAAGTTATCCTGTTTTAACTCGCTAGGAGCTTGTTTTGCTGTTCAACAAAGCAATCGTAGCGATAACATCGGCTGGTTCCAGTAAATGCCAATTTGCAAGCGTCTGCTTCGAGCTGGCACCTACAGTGACGGAGAAAACACGATCTCGCGGAAGGCTACTGTTTGCGAGAGCGCGGAACATATCTGTCAAATACATAAATTAGTATGTTTCACAATGTGGTGGTTTTTAGGCGAATGGGCAGCAGGAATGAAGAGGCAGATGAACCTTCATCAGTAAAATCGTCACCCAAACACAAAACGAAATCTGGATCCTGGCCTAGACCATGTTTATACTCTTCTACTAGACGAGTGGCAATGGATCCCTTGTTGATAAATGTCGGCCGGACCTCTAGATTTGCTTTGCCTGATAGGACCTCGACCGGCCAGCGTTTCAAAACAGTATTTTCAAGGTGTTTCCTGCATTCTGTAGCTTGAAAAGTACCGTATTCTGGATCAGCTCGGCGATAGTGCCAAGTTAAAGCGACCCTCTTTCTCTCGATGAAAGAGCCTTGTGTGCGCTCGGTGTAGTGCTGAAAAATTTCCAGAACTTCCTTCTGCCAGCCCATGTTGGATTTCTCAGTCAGGTTCTCCCAATCGTCATTTCGAGGATGGCGGATGAAACACCCATGTTCAGCGCTCAAACCAAGTTCGGAGATATGGCCCATCCACTCATCGAGGAAGGCCTGGTCCCGACCGCTAATGATCCACACAGAATTCTTCGGGTCGGCAGCAAGGGTTTTGATGGTACGTAGTACACGATCCGATGGGATTGCAGCCTGGGGGTCCTTGACGATAGGCGTCAAGGTGCCATCGTAGTCAAACATAAACAAACGTCCACGAGATTTTCGATATTGCGAGAGGAGTCTACTTTTATCAAGGGCAGGGGTGGCGATAGACTGATCGAATGAGGAAAGATTGGTTAGGAGGCGTTTGAGGTATTTGTCGGACCATGAGGTGATTGTGTGCGTTGTGACGTATTTATAGAGTTGGCTGTGTTGCGCTTCTCTTTCCTCCGGTGTCATCAACAGTGCTTGGTTAATGACGTCGGCAACACCTCCCAGATCCCAAGGGTTAATGTGGATAGCACTGCTTAAGCTGCCTGCTGTACCAGAGAATTCAGAAAGGATTAATGGACCGTGATTTTCGTGCTGGCACACAACGTATTCTAGGCTGGTTGTGTTCATGCCGTCACGAACGCTGGTGATAAGTCCAATGTCTGCAGCTCGTAAAAGGGCAAAGTATTCCTGCGGGACGAGATACCGGGAATAATGTTGAACAGGGGAGAAGCTCAGTGACCCGAATCTCCCGTTGATAGTGGAAACGAGATGTGACATTTGACTTGAAATCTTTGCTTCGGATTCCTCTTTCTCCTCTTCCACACTTGTCGGGTTTGTTACTTGTATCAGAACAACCTTGTTGCGCCACTGAGGATACCGCTCAAGAAATGTTTCAAAGGCCATCAGCTTTTGCGTCACCCCGCGTACAGAATCTAGCCGGTCTCTTCCTATAATGATTCTTTTTCCGTGGTATTGTTTTCTGATGCTGTTAACAATTTCACCAATACCTGGTTCTTCATAGGCAAGCTTCCGCACCGCATCTACGTCAATTCCGATTGGAAAAACATCAACGGCAACATGAGCTCCATACGCATCAATGCCCGCATAATTTGAATCAAACCCCAAGATTCTCGTGCAGCAAGAAGCAAAGTGACGGGAATATGAAAATGTCTGGAAACCTATCATATTTGCGCCAAGAACGCCAGTGAGAATATCTTTCCTTTTGGAAAGACATCTCATGAACTCGCTGCTCGGGAAGGGTGCGTGAAGGAAGAAGCCGATGTAGATGTTGGGAACCATTTGGCGTATAATGCCTGGGAGAAGAAACAAATGATAGTCGTGAATCCACACTATATCGCCTGGGGTGTAGGTCTCCAAAATGCGATCCGCGAAAAGTTTGTTGAGTCTCACGTAGTCTGCCCACCATTTCCGCTCAGACCAGCCATCAGTCGAGCTGCGTTGTTTATAATGGAGAACAGGATATAGTTCTCTCTCAGGGTAACGCCTCCATCTTCCCTGGTCCTTGAGATATAGGTTTTGATCTGGATATTCTTGTTCGTCGGTTAACCAAATTGGGAGCACCCTTCCAAATCTGCTGTTGCGGAGTTGGGCTTCAAGGTGAATGCGATCCTGTTGTGTGACACATATTCCATCTTGAAATGAATAACTGGGCTTTTCGGAGGGGTCAATTGGGACAGGAGCGGACGCTTTATTCAGAGAGGTAGGGACAGTACCAGCGGGCAGCGACTGTCCCGGGGAAGTCGCATGCCCACTCTCTGGGGTGTGGATTTGCTCGATTTCGCCCGTCCACCCCACCATGATATGATTCCATGACGTTTTTGACGAGGCAAGGTAAGAGAACGAATCAAACAAGGCGGAGGTTCCCGGTCGGTGCTTAAGTTCCTGAATTGGAGAGTAAGCTAGAGAACAAACAAATGAAACAAGTGTGCTGGCATAGGACGCCGCATACCCAGTCACGGCCAGGTCGTATTCTGAGCTTGTATGGGATGCAAAATGCAGCACTGATGATTCTTCCCGTCAAATGTAGTCCCGGGTGCCCCTCTTGGGGTTCTATTGACGGCGCAGCGGGTTTTGAAGAACGAACAAGGCTCAAACGACGTAGGAGGTCTGCCCCGGATTTGACTCCTTTAGCAGCCTCCGTTGGGCTCCCAGGAAATTTTGGTAGTGTCCCATGTTGTATATTAACCACAAGCTCGGCATCGTTATTTCCAACGCTTCTCAGAAAACGGTCCGCATCCGTTGTTTTGGAGCTCATCTCGGGAGCAATCGATTCAGGGTTGCCAGAAGCTGTTCCGCTGGGAGTCCCGACATCATTGGACGCCATTGCCAGGGATCTAGTCAAATAAATACTGCGGGAAAAACCGACTGTCTGTTAGTAATGTTGGCGCCCTATAGAGAAATACCTCGCACATCGTGATTACAAGAAAAGTATAAAATATTGAGAAAGGAAACTGGAAAAATGAGAAGCGAACATACCGAAATATTTTCCCGCAAATGTGGTAATCTCAGCAAGGTTATTCCGGATTAACTTGAAATAAAGCCAGAGGCTAAAATAACGGGCATAAACTTCCCCAGATCATCTAAGGAACTGGAGTTTATTATTATTACAAAGGACTAGGTGTAAAAACCGTGAACCGTGGCAAGAGGAGGTGGAGTGGGAAAGGAAAGACAGAGCATGGCCAAGAGAAATAAAATAGAAGTTGACGTGACGGTGTCAACGCTTCGATGAGCGCGGTTTCATGGCCCAAGTGAACCTGTTGGAAGACTGCAACCGGGCCATGATTAGAGTTGTAGCGCCGATGAAGTCGAGATGAGGTCTGGAATCGGTGGCAGTTGATGATGCGCCTGGTGCGGCTCATCCGCAGCTACGTCACTGCCCAGAACATCCATGCGTCTCTCTCTACGATAAAATTGCTGCGGCGGAGATAGGCTCAATCCAGCCCGATGATACCTAGGTACTCTCCTCATGCATGAATACATGCTTTTGTACTCAAGCAATTGCTGCTATTGGCATCGTTGTCTGCACCGGCCACCTTCTCTCGGGTTAACCATCATGGCATTTTGCTTGCTGCTTGCCACTCTGGTCAAACATGAAGTGCCAACGTGACTGATTCAGAATGGAATCTGTACATAGGTAGCTATCAACAACCCATCCTACGATTGTTCATCATTGATCCATTGGGTCTGCCTCCTACTTAGCTGGCAGCTGTCACTTTTCAATGGAGAGCAATCGGTGACTAAGCAAATACCCACGTGACATATCAAAAACCGCCAACATCTTAGTTCTTGTTGTCTTGAGGAAGAGGATCTCGATCTGTATGTTCTCCAGACCATTGAGCAGACTGGTGTCCAATTCATTTCCACTCCCATAGCCTTCAGCTTTCGAAGGTTATGGTCTCCAAATATTTGACACCGCAGTCTGGTGAGCTCTGTATGAGATGCTTCATCGACACGGAACTCTCTCGAAATGCATGGATATTCCTACGAGCCCGTCGACAGTATCGTAGCGTCTCAGATCGCTGGCGACCAGGCAACCAGCTTGAGGTGGTCCCCGATAGCCTCGAGGAGACAATACAAAAACATCGATTCGCGAATCGCCAGACGTTCACTATTCGAAAGATACCCGCTCGAAAACATGATAATGAGAGGGAATTTGTTCGCCCAAGGTCGATGCCGACCCGCCAAAAGTCGAATGCACATCTCTCGGTTCCCTCCGTCGCGTTATCGGGACCTCCTACTGACCGAGTGAGGTTGTCCCAAATTCTCAACAGCGATGAAGGTACCAACAATAAATTTGATCTCCACTCCTTTCAAGCACGACGCAACCCTGCAGTCGACCCAACAAGACCAAATATTTCGTGGGCGAAGAATGCACCTTACGGTCCGTCTACCGAACTCCCCTGGCTCAGTTATGCGGAAATGTCCGACGGCGGAGGTATTGCTTGCTTGAGTGAGGAAATTAGAGCCTTTGAAAAATACATGCTGCAAACACCAAGCGAAAGAGATGCTGTTGAAAAAGCCCAACATGATGCCGTCGTATCCCTGCAATCAGGAGAGGCGGACTTTCCCATTCTCATCGGGTCACAGAGAACAGGAATGGCCTTGCCGCACTCCTCTGTCGACCTGTTTGTCTCCATCAAGGATCTTGAGAGGGCGGAAGGTGGCCGGGGTCCAAGTGCCACCAGGCCAAAGATGGTGCAAGCGCGGCTCAAACGCCTACGCGAGATTGCGAGTACACTAAAAGATTCTCGCTCACTTTCCAATGTTATGCTGAAAAGAGATAGAGACCCAACCTTAGCAGCTCTCCACGATGCTACGGGTCTGCAGGTGCAATTCCAATGCGGACCCAGTCCACCGGCTTCCATCGATTTTATTCTCAACTACCGTGCAGAATTTCCAACGCTCCGCGCCTTATTCATGGTCTTGCGAATACTGCTCGAAACGCGTGGCCTGTTTGGTGGAGTTGATGGAGGTGTGCGCCCGTATCTCCTAATTATGATGATTGTTGCGGCTCTCAAGATTCGAGAGGGCAAATACCAGCGCGACAACGTGGGCAGTCAATTGCTTCACGTCCTTGAATTTTATAAAGATACAGCTTTTACCAAATACGGTGTTTCTGTCGAGCCGCCTGGTCTTTTCGACAAAGAGGTAGGCGTAAGTGTGAAGAAGAATGGGAAGTTGATTCCTCACCCATATCTAAGAGGCCAACGTAGCATCAGCAAACGTTCCTCATCATCGCCATGCGAGGGTATGCTGAGCTTGCAAGATCCCTCTGATTTCATGAATGACGTGGGATCCACCTGTCCTGTTATGTCCCAAGTGAAGCAGCTGTTTAAAGCTACATATGATGATCTCAAAGCTCGAATAAAAACCGAGGGAAAGCAGGGTACTGCTCATAATCATCAACAACAGCAACAACAACAACAATGGCAACGGCAACGGCAGGTCAATGTCGTTGAAAATAATGTGAACAAAGTTGACGGAAGCATGCTTAGTGTGGCCCTGGGTGCGAACTACCACGACTTCGAAAGATTTCGAGATCGACTTCTCGTCGTTGCTTCTCCCACAGGACATGTCCGCACTGGCGAAATGGATCACAATTTTGAACTGCTCCCACCCCCACTCGGGGAGGTGAGGTCGCATATGGAAAGTTGGCCCACGGAGGAAAACCAAGAAAAGTGTGTTCCTCCTGGATAGCTTGCTTTCCCGCATCCGTGATTAGGTACACTTATGGCTCCATGATACTAGATTTCCTTCAGACTTACCAACCACAGTTCCCCTTATATCTGAGACTGGCTCTTTGTCTTAGGAAAAATTCCGGCTTGAACAGAGCTCATCTAATGGAATGATGCGTCAAATGTGATGGATAAAAACATAATCGTTAATGCGAAATGTCGCAGCACAGCTCTTGTCAATACTCTCCACTTCCATCAAACTCTTTAGTCCTTCTTCCTCTTTATCTCCATTTGACTTTTCTCTGATCCTCATAATAATAAGTGTAGGTGGCTCTGGTAATTAGATCACATAATCCGGGATCAAAAAGGAAGTATTTTCCTCTCTCCCATACCCCTGCATGACGGATCGACATATCGCCAGAAATCTATGGATCTGTAGGGATGATTGAATAGAGGGGGTTCTAATATCTATGTATACATATGCAAAAAGCCTGACCAAACGCAAATCACTCAGGCTTCAGGGAAGCAACAAAAATAGAGAATGAGAGAAGGAAAAATCTTCAACCTAGTATACAATTCCCATCCATCAACTCTCTAACTTATCCACCCCAATCACTTAATCTAACTCGACGTTCCACCTCTCAATCATTTTCTCCCCACCACGTCCACGCACCCAATTCTCCAACCACCTCCTCTCCACCACCTCCGCCTCTCCATCCTTCAACCCAACCGGAACATCCACCCCACCTCTTTCGTGCACTGCGATCCTGATCTCATCCGCGCTCATCCCCTCAACACCTCCATTCTTCACAATCAACCAATCATCCACCTCAAGGTACCTCATCCACCTCCTTAACCTCGGTCGATAAACCTGATTAACAACCTCCGCCACCACAAACCCCGGCAACAACGAACCACCAGCCAACTCATGGCCGCGACTCAGCCCGAAAACCGCACACGCCCTCAGAACCCCCGCCGTCGACGCATGGTTGATCAGCCCATTAATATCAACCGAAGGCGGTATCGCCGTGGCATTAAGTAGCACATCCAAATTCGCAATGGCGTTTGCCTTCAGGCTAAGCTCCCCACCACTGACACCATCAGCAACGGCAGCGGCAGCGGCAGCCCCATCCACCTCCGCAGCCCTCACAGCCCTCTCCTTCCGCAAACACGCCTTAACACGCTCCTTCTCCACCTGCCTCGGCACCCGGCACGTAAACGGCGTAACCAAGCTGCCGAGCGCCAGCACGACAAACGGCGTCATCTCCCCGCACAGCATCAAGATGAGCGAGAACGGAATTATGCGGCGCACGTCGTACGCCGCGCGGCGGATGAGCTGGAACTCGCCGCGCGAGACTTTCGCCGCATATTCTCCCAGCATGGCGGCGTTGTTGATGTGTTTGACAGCGTAGACGGGCGGGGGTGGGGAGGTGGGGAAGATGAGGGAGAGGCCGAGTCGGCGGCGCAGGGGAAGGGCGGCGCGGTAGTTGTGGTAGACATTTTTGAGGCCGGTTTTGTAGAAGGAGAGGTAGGCTTTGCCGAGGGTGAAGTAGTATTTTGCCTTGTTGGCGGTGGGGTCCTTTGGAGGGAGGGAGAGGGGAGCGGGGAGGGTGGATGTCGATGCGTTGAGGGGGGAGGTTTTTGCGACGGGTGGCAGCGTGGTGGCCGTGGTGGAATCGGAGGTAGTAGGAGGTGGCTTTAGGGGCCCTGGTGTACTGGAGAAATGGGCGCTACCAGCTCCATTGTTGATGAGGAAGGGTACGAGGTATCTGTCTTGTATTCTTTGGCGGTCACGGATGTGTGTTGGGTGTGGTAGGCTATGAGGGGAGCGGAATCCCACAGGTAGGACAGATACAGTAGCACAAAGGCCACGGGTCGAGTTGGCTAACATTGCATGGAAGAAAAGCAAATGGAAAAGGAAAAGAAAAAGAAAAAGAAAGAAACCAAAGAGACAATGGTCATGGACCAAATAGTAGACTGAATGCTTAGGATTTGAATTGTTGAACAAAATCCTGAATCAAAAATTCTGCTTAGTAAGATATGCGGGTTTGATGCCAAGGCCAACAGGATATTTCGTATGAATGAAATCTCATTTTTGAACTATGAAACCTACGAAAAGCAAATAGAAGTCAAATGATCGACTAGGGGCTTCAGGGCGAGGGTGGGCAATTGGACAACCAAATAATAAACTAAACTTTGCTTCTCCAACGAGACGGAAGGCAGAAAAGATATTGCAGAACGGGAGTGAGAGGAGAACTACGCAGGTAACAAGAAATTTGTGGACAAAACAATTGCACGGGAGCCTAAAAGAATTTTAGAAAATTAAGAAGTAATTCGGTCGCCCATGTCATCACCGCCCATCTGTCTCCTTTCACAGCTTACCTCCCCTTCGCTAATGTCAAGTGCATCGCTGCCCTGATAAGCGCAGCTCCCCCCATCCAACAAGACATCATCCGGTCGCCAGAATCATCGTCCGCATATATAACCCGCTAGTCGTTTCCCATCAAGGCACATCCCGGTATATTTGCTCGCCTTTGTTAGACATCCGAAAAGACAAATAACGTACCAAAAAATGCAGAAAGGAGTGGCAAAAGACGAGAGAAATACAAAAGAAGAAATATTCATTAATATCTCAGCTTTCTTAGTTCTCGATTTTCTGCTTTTTCGTATCAGAGAAAAAGAAAGAAAAAGGGAAAGGGAAAAGTTGGAAGAAAAGGTATGAAAAAAGGCAGACAATTAACCAGAAGGGACAAGCATCAAGTCAAGTACATTTGTGAAAGAGTCGAAAAGATAGATCCTTTAATGCTTCTCTGGCTTCTGAGCTTCAAGAGAAAATTCCTGGTCACTGGCGTCGAGTATATCGTATTCTTCATCTGTCAGGAAATCGTCTTCAGTCGAGTGCTCATCATCAAGAGTGAGGCTCTCGACATCATCCGGCAGATTGCGATTCTCAGGAAGTTCACTGGCCGGGAGAACTGTAGGAGAGGCTGATTTGTGGGTACTCGCGGAGGGTGATTCTGTCTCCAGTTTGGGGAATATCATTACGCTCTCAGACTGAGACTCTCCCTGAGAAGCTTCAGCATCACCGGCTTCTGTGCACGGTTCAACACTCGGTTCCGCTGTTTCGACAGAGAGCTGTTTGTTATTTTCGGTCTGCTCTGGAAGTGCCTCCGAATCCTCAACCGAATCTCGGACGTCCACATCACACCAAAGCTTGTGGCCAAAAGCAGCACCGTCAGGTGTCTTGAGACGCCAGTAAGAAATGGCCCGGCCTTCACGATAAGGGGTCTTTAGTTCAATAGTAAAATTAGCAGAGGCAAATGGGGGAACGGGTGTAGTAAGCTCTTGCGTTTCCATCGCGGATTCCAAATTGCTGAGACTCGATGGATGATTGGTGTCGATGTTGAACATGGTATCCCCTCCAACAAAGCGAACTCTGCATCCCTTTGGCCACGGGATGGGGCCTGGATTGTACAGAGTCCACGTTTGCGTGATTGTTTTGTTGGGGCCAAAGCGCGACCCATCAGGAATGGTGTCCCGAACGAAGAGAGCGTGGAGTTTGGAAGGTGTACAACCTGGCTCTGTTCTGATGTTCGTAGTTTCTCCTTGAACGCTTGGCTGTGCGATGTTGGAATCTGTATCACTGACGTTCTCATGGACTGCCTTCTCAGTCTGCACCTGAGTGGCAGCATTTGATTTCGAAGGCGCCACAGTCTCAGTTGAGGTTGATTTCGTACTTGGTCGATCACCAAGTGGAGCAGCACATTCCCCATAGATGCCAGTATCGCTGAAGGTAGTGACTGTGGCATTGCGAACAGGGGTTTTGAACTTGATTAAAGGATGCGTGCGGTTGTGGGTATTGTCAGGATGAGCTTCGCAATTTCCACAGAAATCAGTATCGTGGCAAACGGCACATTTATAACGAACTCCTTTGATATAAGCCGCCTTAGATGTCGCAGAGCAGAGAGGGCCATCACAGATAACGCCACAGTGGATCTGGAGATAACCATGCGGCTCCGGAATAGGAGTATAAAGCGGAGCAAAGCGGTGACCAGGGTGCAATTCGGTGGCGTTCCTGACACACTCTGAACAATAATCCCAGTCCGGACAGTTGAGACACTTATGCCGGACGCCTTTTATAGACTGCATGACATTAGCACAATCAAACTCAGATATCGGGGGTCATGGGAATCAGAAGCTGACCTCGTTGCATCCATCGCAGATTGCAGCGTGGTAACGACCACGTCCAGGCTGGCAAGTCGACATGACAAGACTCTTTGATTGGAACTCGCCATCTACTATAAGGGAGAAAGAATGCCCAGGATGATGACCATGTCTGTCCGCGAGAAGACAAGTGAAGCACAGGTCATAGTCTCCGCAATCCTGGCAGTTAACGAGTTCTTTCTCGTTGAAGCCTTCATTAATAGAAACATCAGCAAAACGCCCAAGTATATCCAACGATCGAGAAAGAATATGTGTAACATACATCTGAAACAAGCATTGCAGGTCCGTTCTCCAGCCTTTGTATCCTCAATTTCTATAGGAGTGGTATGCTCTCTAGTGCTGCTGAGCTCCACTTGAGGTTCTGGCTCGGGGATTTTCCTTGGAGCAATGGTCTCCGTAATGTTGTACTTAATTCTACCGTCGCTGACAGTGCGCTTGATCAACCAATGCCCTTCACCGGGACAGAGGACACCTGCATCGATGCATTTCTGGCACAGATCATAATCACCATCATCACAAATACTGCAATGGTAATGGGCATCGGGAACACCGGTGCCGCAGTGATTACAGTCAATGCAAATTGGGGATGGCGGAACGAAATTAGGGCCACCAGCACACATAACTGCAGGTGCTGACGCAGGATTCGATTTCGCGAGCTCCATGCCTTGCTGAGGTTCTGCCTGAGTAGATATCTTGTTGTCGTCCTCAGCTGGGTTCTCTGCTGGAACGTTCGGGAACATGGAGGCTTTCAAGGGAGGCGGTGCAGGAGCTGCAGAGGTAGAATGATCAACTTGATTGACCAACCCGTCGATGGGGACACGTAGAACCGTGTCGAGGTAGCTGCATCGCTGCTGGGGCTGTTCTTGCTGGACATCTGTGCTTTCGGGAGGTGGGGATGGCAGCCTGTTGTCAGGCTCAGGCTCAGGCTCATGATTTTGAACCCGAGTTACCTTGATTTGAAGCTTCAATTTGGCCTTCGCAGCACGATAGAGTTGCTTGTATACAGAAATATTCTCGCTGTCGAGGACCACATAGGAGCCAGCACTGTCGGAATAACGTTCGAGTGTGATATTGGCGTCATCAGGGATACTTAGAAATTGGCGAATCTGCAGGATTTCGAGTCCAACTTTAGCCATAAATTCAACAAGAGAAAATAAAATCGTCCTCGAGGATCCTAGGAATCCAGGACATGCCCGATACACGTAAATGCAGAACAGAACCATTACCGTTTAGAACGAAATGACAAAGACGAAAGGCGGAGAAAAAGGACCATTTGCATACCTTCTGTGGCAGGGAGTAGGCACCAAGCTCTCGCAAGGGTAGCTTGAAGCGTCGATTGTAGCCCTCGAAGAGGGTTTTGATAGAAATTGGAGTGTCGGGGCCAACAAGAGTAGGCTGAGGAGGTTGGAATGGAGCAGCCATGGTTTATGACCTATGGAGATCGATGAAGCTGGGTGGGAGGTGTTGATGATAGGAACTTCAAATCCGGGGAAAGCTGCTGATGACGGAATGGATAGATCGCCAAGTGACGAAGTAAAACGCAAAAACAACAAACACAGTGGACAAGTGGACCGAACAGGGTCAAGAGGCAGACTACATAAGAAGCAGGGAGAGAGGGTAGATGATGGAGGATGGAGGATGGGAGGTCAGCGAGATGAAGCTGATGGAGGTTGAGGTGAGGTTTGAGGTTTGAGGTTGAGCAAGGCGAGGCCAGCGAGGTGAGGTGAGGTGAGGTGAGGAGTTGCCAGTTGCCTTGCAAGACCCGGCAATTGGCTGCTTGGCGGCAGCTCCATCTTGCAGCAGAGTACGTATTCGGTACGTATTGGTATTTTTGCGTATTCTACTACCCAGTATTACGCGGTCTCGCCCGCCTGGACACCATGCTTCTGCCTGTGTCCGCCCTAGTTTCCATGGCGGTATGGTAAAATACGGTCTCCAGCCAACCAGGAGGCGCTTGCCTCAGCGCTGTATGATATCATTTGTGACCGTGTCCCATCATAGGGAGCGAGCCACCAGGCTCTGGCTGTTCGCAAGCCGGTGCATCCATGGATCCTCACCGCCTACCCAGGTGGATGCGGCGGAAGATTGCTCACATGACGTTGTTCTACGCCGTAAAGTCCACGGGTAGTCACGCCATACAACCCGGTTACACAGATTCGTGACAGGCAGACATCTCTACGAAACTCTCCATGATTAAATGGAATACTCATGTCAAGCGGGGCCACGCTATGCTCTCACTGCTTACGCGGTATGTATCGTACGACACTGCGACCAAGCTTCTCAAACTGCTCATTCAACCAGGCCTCAAGCCTGATTTGAAGTATTTATTCTCGTCAGACCTGTTCGCAGCTCACCCATCTCTCCCAGTGCGGATAATCCTACCTGACTGGGAACAAGAAGATGGGCCGATGAAGGCTCTGGGTCTGGGAACAATTACTAATGACTTGCAATTCTCAGAAGTAACGGGCACAAACAGGAAACGGATCCATCGGGTTCTTTTCCCTCCCCTTTCCGCCTTCCGCCAGGCTCGATAACTGGGCAAAAGGGCTTGAAAAGAATAAACATGTTAGAATCTCATAAATATATACTCTGGATAAAAACCTTTTCCGTCCCGTTTGGCCCCCACAACTCCGAAGCATCATGTTTTTTGAACTCTCTTCTTCCAAATGGTCTCCTGAACGAATTCATCCTGTTTCCCAAGCATCCTCTTATCAGGGACTGTGAATGCCGAACATTCTCGGTGTGTTCTCTTTCAATCCATTCATCTGTACCGCTGAGAAGGGCTAGAGATGGAATTTTCTGCACCCTGAATATCCTTTGGTTATTCTTATTCATCAATGCTTTTTATCCAATCAGTACGTGTAACTAGTAACTATGCGAAGTTGCATGTTAACCTTCCTCTCTGGGTGATCTTGGCCTCAAGCAACATGAGATTGACGCTATCTCCATTGAGCTTTCAAAGATACATCACATAGCATGTATTTCAAAAGATAATCCCCTTCCGTTTGGAGCATTTTCTCTTCAGCTCCCAATCTTTCTATATATCTTGGGTATCACCGAGCTTAAACATCTCAACCATTTAAAATGAAGGAGAAGACTGGTATCAGAAACAAATTTCAACCATTAACGCTAGCACTCTTTCGGCCATCCCAATCCCAACAGCAGCGGTGGCTCTGGTATCGACAGGAAGCACAGCTCCTGTGATCCATCTGGCATGAGGGCCAGCGAAGAAGACTACTGCACCAGCAGCATCCCAACCGCTCCCCCCTGTACCAAGCAAGCTTCTTTTCCGCCTAGCCTCTCAAGCCTCCTCCGTCATCCCTCTCCCATACATCATGGGCGTATACAACATCTATATATATGTCAGCCGGATACCCAAGAATCACAAAACAATAAATGAAAAAAATATATATATAAGGCAAAAGAATAGAAAAACCTTGAAACCCCACTCCAGTCAAATGGAACGTACCCCAGGACAGACACAATTAACCTTAATTCCGTCCACCGCATGATGCGCAGCCATCGCTCTGGTCATATTAACCACCGCCCCTTTATCCATCGGATAGAGCAAATGCGGCATCCCACCCTTCAACCCAGCCACACTTCCCATATTCACAACATCCCCCTTGACTTCTTCCCCTTCATTCCTCCGCGTAGCCGGAACGGCGTACTCGATCATCTCGACGCCCCTGGACGCCCAGTCTAGATTGCGGTCTAGACATATGACGTAGCAACCGTCGTGGGCGAGAAGGGTGGAGATGGTCGCGTCCGTTGCCGATGCTGTCACCAAGGCACAGCAAGTTATGACCAGCCGGCGTTGGTGACGATGGAGGTCTTTGCCGGCTAGAGAGCGTGAAGGTGGGTCTGAAGATATTGTTGTAGTTTCTGCCATAGTTATTTATCCCTGGATACTACCTAGAGAGCAAGTGGAGGCACGGATTGGGACAGAAGTAAAAATGTGCGGAATTGAGCGACGGGTGGTGTGTGCAGGCGCCGCCCAATGTCAATGTTACTAGGTACGTAGCAGCTACCTTGCTGCCTCTAATAAATAAATAATTTCAAGTGTTTCTGAAGGGACTACTCGCATTTCATATTCGATAGTTATTTGAACGTGTCTAGAGGTCAGAATGTGAATCTGAGCTGAACGTTACTCGGCAATGGGCAGTTTATTACATAGCGGAAAGGCAATTTCGGTATTCGGCATAGCATAACCCTTAACAGTGACTAGTGCTAAGTAGTTTCACAGGATATTTACATTCGTACTTGTATGTCATAAATCGGGGAACAGTCATAGAACTTCTTCAGGCAGTCTGGGCTTGAACATGTTATGTATTAACTAATTGGCAGTGATCAGTAAAGTTGCAATGATCAGGGGCTGAATGGGGTTTCGAGGCGGTCTCCTATACCATACACAACCTCGCATTCTTCGTTTTTGCCCAACCCCCACGACTCCATTGACCTCACTCACGCCTCTGCCCCTTCAGACGCAGAAATCCTCGCCCTCTTTTCTGCTCTGTCTCCCTCCGCATCTATCCAGCCGCCATGGTTCGCCCTTGTCTGGCCATTGCCATTCTCTTCCGCTTTCACCCTCCTAACTACCTCCTTCCCGAACTTCACCACACCCCGATTCCTATGTCTCCATGACGCCTCTCCAAAAAAGACACTCCGAAACTCCCGATCTCTCTCAAACCTCCGTCTGGCATCATGGTCAAGAAGCATCATGCCATCGTAGCACTGAGCCCCGCTAGTCTCCATACGACGCTTATTCGCCATAACTTTTCTTTTCCATTTCCGTGCCTGGTCTCCCGTCGTTTTCCAGAGGGAGTATATGTCAGGGCGCCTATAGGTTCTGCTGGACCCTGCTGCACGGCATAGATTGATGAGATCCAGGGAATAGGGTAAGTAATTCTCCCCGCCGGGGAGTTTACGGAGAGTGTTTATTTCGTCCGCCGTGTAGATGTTCAGAGAATTTTCGATAGCTTCACGGATGGAGAGGGTCAGAGCGTAGATGTCCAGCTTGGGGCTGATGACTCCAGAGGAGCAAGGGTCGACGGCTTCCTAATTGCGTGAGAAATTCAGGTTAGATCACTTTTATCTTCTCTTTGCTTCAATCTGCTGGATTATTATTATAGCTCCTATTTTACCGGGGGTAAAAATCCTGCTGTTCCTTCCATGACATAGGCTTTTTTATATGACCGAACATCATCATTAGGGATGCTGTAGGCCAGTCCTAGGAACATGTTAACCAGCCAAGCAATAATACAGTGAGGGGCTGTACTCACCGAAATCTCCGAGATAACAGGATGGGTAAAGCTCATCACTTTCTGGCGGCGGCGTTGTACCTAGGAAAACTGAAACAGCCAATGGATTTTCTTAGCCGGGAGGTATGTTGAGAAAGAAGAACGGATACTTAGGTCTCGCGTCTCAGTGACAGAGAGATGGTATTACTTACTGTTTGCTGGCTTTACGTCCTTGTGTATGATTTCCTCCCAGTCAGGCTTTCGCTGGGGGCCAGCATGGCCATGTGCACAGTATAGTAGAGCAGTCGCAATTTCATGAAACACGTGCCATAGAAACGCTTCGGGGAACAGGAGCCTTAGTCGGTCAGACAAGTGTTAGATGCCTCCATATACCTCTTGAGAAGAAAAGGCAAGAAAGACATTGGCGATAAGGGTCACAACCGGCCAACACAGGAGAAAAAGCTTTCCGACAAAACAAAATGGTAAACTAAAAATGAGATAATGAGAAAACGCTGCCTACTTATATTGCATGTAATGGGTATAAAGTCTAGCTAATGACCCCCCCTCATAATACGCATAAAGGATGCGAAAAGAATGGCCGTGCGCGATCGACTTAAGGGGTTGCGGATTGAGGTCAATCCAATCATACACCCTGACAACATTTGGGCACCCGACGGCGTTCAGTCTCCGTGTTAGGTTTCCCTCCGAACAATAATCATCCCAGAACTCGTCATTCTGGGTGTCCTTGACTGCGAACAAGATAGGGTCCTAGGGCGGGATATTATCTGTCAATCACTCCGTAGAAATTTGCTCCACACGTCAATCATAGTAGGTTCCGTTCTGAGACTTAGACAAACCGCAAAAAGGGAGAGTAAAGTGCAAATATTAGAGGGGGAGAAAGATGGCAAATAAACAAAAAAAGAAGAAGGAATGACGAGAAGCAGGATAAAAAAAGAAAAGAAAACCCACCCTATCACCAAACGGGTACCATTTCCAGCACTGTACATATCCAAACCCGCCTCTTCCCAGCTCCCCCAAATAAATCCACTGATTCTCCTCACTCGCAGGTCCTTGATACTTCCACCGTAGGTCACGCCCGTACTCATCCTCCTCGTACTCGTCAGTATACTCCTCATCCTCCGTCATCTCCACAAAGTTTCTAAGCTGCTTCCTAAGCTCATCCGCGTATTCCCACTCGCTGTCAGGGCCGAGGTCGTCTTTGGCTAATTCCTCCTCGTAATATCTGATGGCATCGGGCCCTGGTATCCCAGCCCATTCATTGCCAGGTTTGTATACCTCTTGGAAGCGGTGGCGGAAGCCGGGTGGGATTTGGCGATGCTGATGCTGACGCTGAGGTTCACCCTTCCTGGTTTGTTGGTTTGGCTGATTGGCTCGCCTTCGCTTGGAGAGCAGGGGAATGAACTGGCATTGTCTTGGAGGGAAGAGGGGGTTAAACTCATCTTTCGAAGTTTTTGGACCACCTCCCATGTCAAATGGAGGCCCCTGGAAAGGCTCCCAGTTCGGATTTTCTGTCACATTCATGTCCTTCCGATTGGACTGTGGATTCTGGCAGATTAAGTCCGGATCAAAACTCGATGGTTTGTTTGGTTCCCTTTCTTCTCTCGATTTGAGTGGCCGTCTAACCTTCGTTGCTTTCCTATCTACTTGGAGAGATTTCGTTTCGGTACTCCCTAGTTATGTGCTGTGAAGAGACGGAGGATGCAAATTGAGCGAGTGCGAGCGGTAGAGTCCTGACATTAACATATTAAATGAAAATAGGCCACATTCTAATATATAGCGGACTATATTTTTTCTTTAAAAAAAAAGTTATTGAGTACAAAAGGGTAACGAGGGCTGTGAGAGGGTAGAATTAAAATAGAAATGCCATTGTTCAATGAAAATGCAACAAAGCTGTTTTTTAATCAAAGAAAACGAATGACAAATGCAGCTAAATCAGGAGTATTCTGGGGCATTCGAGATTGCAAAGAAAGAGACCCCGAAAAAGAAGGTATAAAATGCATTTTGATTGCAGGGGAAAGCAACATAGTACATACACAAGGAAAAAAAATTGTAAACAAGGACATAGATGGGCGTAAGAACTGCGTGGACTGTTATTAACGGAATGGACACACCGAACAGCATTATGCCGCTGCCCCAGCCGCGGAACTTCTCTTAGCACGCTTCGGGGCATCTTCCTTTTTCTTCCTCGAGCGGCCACCACTGCCACCTTTGGGTCGATAGCCTCCATCCTCGTCTCGTTTTCGCTTTCCGCGAGCCCCGCCGCCTGACCCTCCCCCTCCTCCACCACCCAACGGAGTGTCAATCAATATACCATCTTCGTCGTATACATCTTCTTCCTTTCGCGTGTGGGTACTCGCTCGCTTCGAACTACGCGGATTGTTAGAACGGGGAGGAGGCTTTTCGGATGCTGCATCGGCATCTTGCAGAAAGACTTGCGGTTGATGTTTCCTCAACCAATTTATCACGGAAACTGGATTCCGGACAGCAGCTTCTCTATCCCTACTCGCAGCTGAAACTGATTTCCCTGTTGGTCTGGGTTCCCCAGATGTAGCGGCATCAAGCGCTGCGGAATATTCAATTTCATGTTCTGGACTTAGAAAACCAAGATTTGAATCCACTTCGCATTCCATAGCGGGTCGACTCGATGTCGTATGTGGAACCTTTAGTAGCGAAGAATAATGCACCGCGGGAGCGAAGTTCTCACTCTGGAGGAGAGACTCTTCCAGGCGACGGCATTGGTCGGGCTTGATTTCTCCAGCCAACAACCTCGCTTTCGCGACTCGCAGTGCCTCGCGAGCAGTTTCTATATCATAGGACTCTTGTTGGTAGTGCTCAGGATCCGGAGAGCCTACTCTCGGTAACTTGGAGCCTGGAAGGTCAAGGTTATATCGGAGCTTGGGGGGAACACGTATACTGCTGTTGAGTTCTAAGAGTGCTTCGAGGAGTTGACTATAAGTCGAATTGAGTTAGTAGAGCATTCTAACTTTTAAGGGGTTTGATATCGTGGGATCGCGTACTCATTCTGTTCTTTTAGTCGCTTGGAGAGGTCACGAATCCTCAGTTCTTCCTTGAACAAAGCATTGCTTTTTTTCATAGCATGTTCAAAAGTGATCTTTTGCTTCGCATATTTTCTCCTATGTAATACAGTCAGTTGACGCGGGTTAATCTGAACATATGGCGAACTGACTTGAAAGACTTGTACGTGGTCTGCTGTGCTAGAGGCGGCGCATCGGGCAAGCTCCTATCTGGCGAAGGAGAGGCAGGCTCAGGAGACGCCATAGCAAAGGTTGATGTTGTTGCGCAATGGGAGACAGAGAGAGATTAGTTCGACGGAGGGTCAGGTTGAGCGCGGATGTAAAAATAACAATGCTAGAGATGATGCCGGTTGGTGGCTACTTGTCTGGTTTTACCTTCACGCTTGGGAGCCGACGGGTGCTGGAAGCCTGCATGTCAGGTCACTACGGCACACCGTAAAATTTTCTTTACCAAAAAATTTAGAACTTGTAATATACACCTTGTGCGCAATCCATTGCTTGATTATTCTCATTTATCCCCTCATGTATTGAGGATTTCCAAGTAACTGTGAGTGCCTGAACCATAGCCATTATTTTATTGTTGCTGTACATTGTCTACTCTCAACTTTCACGGAATGTCTAGTCCCAAGGAGGCCACTCCCTCAGACTCTCCACCTACGACTCGTAAACGCAAGTTAGACCAAGTCCCAGCTCTCGAAATTGATTTATCTGCACCAGAACCTCCGTCGAAGAAGGCACTTCGAAAAGCAAAAAAGAAGTCAGCAGCATCACAAATCTCTGATCCCTCTGCCCAAACCTCAACAATAAACCCAACTTCAAAACCCCAGGCTGCGGAACAAGCAGAAAAGCCCTCGAAAAGGTCTGATTACGGAGTCTGGGTCGGCAATCTGCCCTTTGTCGTGAAGAAGGACGACATAAGGGCATTCTTTACCAGTTCAGGGACTTTGAAAAGCAGCGATATCACACGGATACACCTGCCAGAAGGTCCAAAGCAAAATGGCAAGGCTCAAAACAAGGGATTCGCCTACGTCGATTTCACCAGCAATGAGGCAATGGAGACCGCAATTGCGATGAGTGAGCAGCTAATTAATGGTCGTCGGGCATTGATTAAGAATGCAAAAAGCTTTGTGGGCAGGCCTGATAAGCCAAATGACGAGGCTACCAGTAATAAGGCTTCCAAACTCTCCGCTCATGCTCCCTCCCGGCGAGTGTTTGTCGGTAATCTTGGGTTTGACGTGACAAAGGAGATTTTGGAAGAGCATTTCAAGCCGTGTGGAGTTATAGAGCATATACAACTTGCGACATTTCAGGATAGTGGCAAGTGCAAGGGCTACGCTTGGATTGAGTTTGAGGGTATTGACGCGGCAGAGGTTGCGATGAGAGGATTTGTCAATGTCCCGGAGAAAGATGAAGATGGCGATGATGATAGTGAGAAGGACATGGATGGCTCAAATGCAGATGCTGCGTCCAGTAGCGAGGAATCGAAGAGCACCCGAACCAAGGAGAAAAAGAAGAAAAAACTAAAGATGAAAAGGGTATGGGTTAATAAAATTATGGGCCGCTCGCTACGGATGGAGTTTGCGGAAGACAAGGCAACCCGGTATAAAAAACGGTTTGGAAAGGATGGGACGTCAAAGGATAAGTTTGGTACGGAGCCGGAAAGAGGTGACGGGCAGGTCGGGGGCAATGACATAGAAGCTCTTGCAATTGAAGAAGTGTCAGAAGGGGATGACAGGTCGTTCCAAAAACCGAAAGCTGGAAAGAGGCAGCGGCCTTCGAAGAAGGGGGAACCAGGCAGCGGGGGTCGGTATGGGCAAGATGTGGTCCACAGGCTTCGTGGAGCTATTGTCGAATCTCAGGGAAAGAAGACGACGTTTGGTTGAGTTTCCCGTTTTGCTTTTGGATACATATCTTTCATCTATCTATGCGCTACATGTCCATCTCAGCATCATGCCACCACATGTAAGGAAGCCTTTCTGTTGCTGCGTGTATATACTAGTATTTCTTTGTAGCAGGATACCGATCCTCCCGGAGTAGATGACATTTTTAGTTAGATAATCAGTCGTCAGATCGACACACGCGAAAAATACAAGCATGCGCCATACCCGCGCTTGACATTTTCGGCTGCTGGCTTTTTCCCTAGGAGAACATGTGCATGATGCAGCAATTGATGCGAACCATGTTCCTAAACATTTGCAACAATGGATTTGCACCACAGAAGCCGGAGAGAAGAAAGGGCTCAACAAGGAACAGGACATGTGCTGGAAATAGGCAAAATTCGTCTCCTTGAAAACCATACAAAGCCCTTTCAGCAGCATAGTACTAGCACTAGTAGCTATCTATCCTTTTTAAGTTCGTTGCTGTCCTTGTTTCCCTCTATTTTTATTTGCCTTTGCCACATTTTCTTCTTGCGATGGTTCAGCCAGGGTTAGGTAAACACCCACGCTAGCTCCATTAGGACTAGTCACCTCCATCGCCAAGCCCGTGATGTTTTTGAGATCAACCTGAGCAAGACCAAGGAGCGCAATAAATGACGACGACGACGACAACGAGAGCGTGAGAGAAGAAAGAGAAGAAGAGAAGACGACGACGACGAAGAATAAGAATATAAGAACAGGAGGAGGAGGAGGAGAAGAAGAAGAGACCCTGACGACGACAACGACGACAACAACAACCACCTCCGCAACAGTTAAACTTTACGTCTTTGCAGTCTCACTGGTTGCCTCTGCTTTTTGCATATCTCGGCCCATCAGCAGACATTCAGCGCCTCTCACCTTCATCAACTACCACCTCTGAACTCCTCTCGCCTCTCAAATCCACACATATCTCCCTCCAACATAGTCAGTGTCTGAGATATCTTTTCCGCCGGGGGAAGCACAAGGATTTGTTTTGGTGACCTTTGACTGTCTCTCCAGATGGCTCCCCATCCCCGAAGTCGTATTGTTAGCCGGAGGAGGACAGAGGACGAAGGCGATGAAAACGGCTCCATGAACGGGGACTTCGAGGACGACTCTCTGAGTGAGGGTACTATTTCACCACACGAGGATGATGATGCCGATGAAGAAGGGAGCGATTTTAGTGAAAAAGACACAGCATCTGGGACGGAGGAACTACCGGCAACAAACGGACGGCCGCAGGTTACTGATCGTCTCGGGAGTGATGATGCTCAACAGGGAGGCAAATCCGCGCCGGCTGTCCGACGACTCTTCGGAGCAACAGTGTCGGATACTGAGGTTATGCTGAACGGGCTGAGGTTGTCCGATGGCGAGGGAGGCGTCGAGGAAATCCATTTTGATGACATGAAGGAAGGGCTGGATAGTTCTATCGCCACCCCGAAATCCGCAAACAACAAGGGGCATAGGGGAGAGACATTTGCGGAGAGAAAGCGGCGTGAACTTGAGAAATACATCAAGGAAAGGGATTCTAATCCAGCCTTCGTACCTACTCGGGGTGGTTTCTTCCTTCATGACAAGCGGAATGCTGATTCCCCGCCAAATGGCTATCGTTCACCACATAATACGAACGGCAATAGCAAACTGAAGACTCGCCCTTATGGTCTCATTGTCGATAGCAACGCTGCAAGGTTAGTATAGCACTTGTTCCTAATATTTAGTATTTTTGCTCTTTGCCGTTGCTTGCATTTATATTGGAATCGGTGACTGATTCTAACCCCTGGTCGTTCAGACGCCCTGCTCCGAAACCGGACGTAACTGTTGGACAGTGGGCGCACGATCTACACGATTCTATTGTTCAAGATACTCGCCCAGTACCATCCACTTCGGCCACCATATCCAATACCACTTCCCTCTCTAATCCCCAGAGACCTGTCCCCACTGCTCCCCGATCATCTCCTCCAAACCGATCCTTCTCCAGCTCTGTCCTGGTAGGCAATGTCCCTGTCATCGTTTTTCTCCCCGGTATGAAGGCGCCTATCCCTTACTCCGCCGTACCTAAGAAACAACACACCCGCCTTCCCCAACATCGGCCGCCTCTTCGTCGTGATAAACCTGTTAGAATATCTTTACCAGGGCAGCCGCCCCGATACATTTTCCCCGCCACAGAGCGGTCATTTATCTTTATACCGAGGGCGCTAAGACCAAATCAGCAATACCGTCAACGAGGCCGTGGTGGCTTCTACGGCGGTGGTGGCAGGAGAACGAGTCTTTACGGAGGGAGCATATATACACCAAGTGTAGCCATGAGCCGCAAATCATCAGTTGGTAGGGTGCCTGATATAGTCCATTCGCCTGCGGGTTCTGTGGTTTCCCGTGTTGGCACTATGCCTGGTGAAGGTGCGAAACCGGTAGTACGACTACCACCTTCAATTAGACCTCCCGTTGGACCCGGTTTTGTTCAACCTTATGGACTTGGCCCGCAAATGCATGCCGCTCATCCCCCTCCATACACGATGCCTCCACCTCCTGAATACCGTGAAAACCAGCCGACACCCAACATCCCGATGCATCAGCCACGACCACAGAAAACGGTTTCTGTTGCGGATATCGAATCCCCGGTTACATACCAATTTAATCCCCCTCAAACGCAACAGGAACAACCATTCCATCATCAAGTTCCACAACCCGTCAACGGAGGTTTCATGCCTGATTCCACCATGTATGCTCTCCATGCACGTCATACCTCACATGTTTCCCAGGCCTCTGCAACCCCTTTATCCCAGATCCCCGAGCGTGCCATCCACGCTCAACCTTTCCAGCCATATCCTTACCAACAACCCCAACCATATTATACGGAACCAGGTTATCAACCTGCGCCTGTATTCTATCCCGCAACAAACCCGGAGTATCCAACCTACAACGCATCCGCTCAGCCTAGCCACCCACCAGTCTATGCCACCCAAGGACAACAAATGCCTTATTCCATGCCCCCTCACCAACCTCCAGCTAGCGACCAAGTGCAAACTCGATCCGGCACAGTTGCGCATGAGTCAAACGGCACGGTATATTACTACGATACTTCACAGTTGGCGGGTCCCACATACCCACAGCAGCCGAACGCACCATATCCTGCGGCATCTCAGAGAGCGCCGCAGGGAGGTGTTGTTGGTATGGGCGGTATGATAACACCACCGGGAACAACCTACTATTATCCTCAACCTCAAAATGGAACGGTATACTATGCATGAAAATCCCTTGGTTCTGCCATGAATATTATACGTCATGTCCTTTTTTTCCGTTTTCTTTCCTCCTTTCTTGTCTTTATGCTCCGCTTTTATTTTCTTCACGCCCACTCCTCCTTCCACTTCTTGCTTCCCCGGTTTCTATTTATCATTTGGCCATTTTCGGGAATCCATTTATCATCAACTATATCTTTTCGCACATTTTTGGCGCCCCTTCTAAAATTTTAGTTTGCTGCTGGTGTCCAGTTGCTTTCTCTTCGCTGGTTGGTTGATTTCCAATGCGAGCTCCTTATTTGTGTCTGCGGTTTAGATTACGTTCCTCATGCATTCTTAGCGGCTTGCTTCTTCCCTTCCGTTTTATTTTATTTTATTTTTTTTTTCATTGTCTTTCAAACTCGGTCAAACCTTTTGTTTTATTATTCTTCCATTTTTATCCCCTTCTTAAGCCATGGCCCTGGGAATTATATATTTTCGACTTATTTTTACGGTATAGCATAGCTTTAGTTGCGCGACCCCATTTTGCCCTTCTTAGCCAGCTTTTGGACTTGCTTCGTCTCAAGCTTCGTCTTCATATGCTGGATTTAGCTGTGTTTCTTCCATCTTTTCTTCCCTAGTTAATCCTTCTTTCAGGCGCCCTGCTTTCCTCATCATTCTCGCTCCCTCCCCGACCGACTGCCCCCCCGATCGAGTAAATGTTTTCCAAAGCATCCCGAACGAAGGAAAAGAAAAAAGAAAAAAAGCCGCCTACTGAGTTAATCTTCTGTCGATTCTATTATGTTCTTTCTTTTTTGCTTTGTCCACTATTCTTATTCACCTACTCCGTTATTCGATGACCTAGCAACTATCATAGCACCCTTACATATCTCCACAGACGCGGATGGTTCCCTGCCTCTCCACGATTTGCCATATTATGTATATTCAAAACTCGACTGGTACTTGATACATCCATTCCCGCTTTCTCCCGGCTTGTGAAACCGCTCTCCCATTTATCTAAGATGCCAAAATCCCGCTTGATATCCCCGTCCGTCCAAAAGCCCATTTGCCTTGATGTTTTGTTCTCCTCTACTCAATGCAATTTCCTCTCTCGTTGCGCCCTGTTTTTCATTTAGGTTGTGTCATGTTTATTTATTCAGTTTGTCGTTTTACTCTGCCACTATTTTCACTTTTCGATATGCGTGACAAGTGTGCTTCGTTTCTAATTCGCTATTCATTTCTACAATGCCTTGTATGTGATTTCCTGACTTTTCTTATCCTCATGTTTCTTTCTTCCTCATTTCACCAGCGTCAAAATTTTTTAGTTTTAAACTTTCAAACTTAGGACGCAAAGCAAAAAGCAAGCAAAAGATATTTGTTTGGTTCTTTTTCATTTTCATTTTTTTCATTTTTGCTTGTTTTTGATCTTTCCCTATCCTGCTTTTCTCCATCCTTCCCCCCCTTCGCTATGTTCATTTGCTTGTTATCATTCTTATCTATTATTTATATATTATCATGGTGGAAATGAAATAAGTAAGCTATGTGCGGCATATCATTTTCCTTTTTATCTTTAGTCTTGATATTTTTCTCTAGTTTTGCTTGTACTCCCCCACTTCGTCGCTTTCTCCCTTCTCATCCCTAGCTACGCCCATAGAGATGTATTTCCGGCGCCCATTTCTATCAATTATCCGGATACTTCAAACGATGGAGATAAGCCTCTTTCATCCGTTTATCGAAATTGCCTTAGTAGCTTCCATAAATTAGACAATTTAAACCGTACGTGCGGAAATAAATATGTTCATGAACTCCGGCCCTTCTCCCTAACCAGGAAGGCTAAAAACAAATAGGATGAACAGAGACTTAGTCTTGTACTTGATAATGAACTAACTATCTATATACGTCTTCTGGGTCCAGAGACTTCTAGCCATCAGTTTATGGGTCGCTGCCACGCGAACTTAAGACTTCAGAAATTAATGCTTCGCCTTACTATATAAAAACATTTTAGTTAATAAATGTATATCATTCGGACGTCTGAGATATGATTTCTCTCTTTTAAACTTACATAGCTACGATGGAATAGGGGGCAATGGAAGTAAGCCTTCAATCACATGATTTGATAGTTGAAGCTTTTGCCGCAAAAAAAAGACCTCCGCAAGTACTCTATCCACCCACGAAAATATCCCAACTTTGATTAGGATCCCTACGTGAGGCTAAGGATCCATTACTACTCGAGCTAGCTCATTGGTGCTGGAAACGACTTATTGGATAAAAAAATATTTCCCCCTCAACCGGGCAAGACGGATAGATCAAGCAAGGAGAAGGAGGACGGAAAATGGCAATTAGCATCCTGCCGCCGTCCATGGAGGAGGAAGCATTCAGCTCCTCAGACGATGAGTCAAGAGATTCTGAAGGCGACATTGATATGTCTGGAGGCCATTCGCGACCTGCAAAGCGTCTCCGCCTCTCCAAGGGCGGAATAGTAACTCCAGGAGAAGTTGTAACGGACGATCCGCAATGGATGCGGTACGCCCCATTTTCTACCTTTCATCACTAGGATCTATTTTATATAATGCCTATTTGGAAACACAAGACGTTGAACTGACGACATACCCATCCAAATCCAGAGGTCACGGCACCTTCACCCGAGCCGCTCACCACCCCCACCACACCACCCCCAACAACCCCGCTACAACCCCGAATACAATCATAGCCACCGTCGCCGGCACCGTTCAAAAAACCAACAAGCTGCTCTCCGTCCAACCGCTCCGAGCCCGCTACACACCCGAAATCGGCGACCTAGTCGTCGGCCGCATCGTCGAAGTGCAATCGCGACGGTGGAAAGTAGACGTCGCGGCCCCCTTGCTCGCCCAGCTCCCGCTATCCGCCATAAACCTCCCCGGCGGCATATTGCGCAAGCGCACGACGGCCGATGAGCTGCAGATCCGCTCCTTTTTCAACGAGGGCGATCTGCTTGTTGCGGAGGTGCAGGCCGTGCATCAGGATGGGGCTGCGTCGTTGCATACACGCTCGTTGAAGTATGGCAAATTGCGCAACGGTGTGTTTTTGGCAGTGGGTGGGATTAGTGTGGCTGGTGGAGTTGTTAGGGGGAGTGGGGTTGTCAGGTCCCGGAGGCAAGTGTGGACGTTCACTGCGTCGCATGGCGCGGGGGAGATTGATGTTATATTGGGTGTTAATGGATATATATGGATTGCGAAACATGTTGGAGATGGGGATCTAGGTGGTACTGCTGCTGGAGATGTGTCTATTACGCGCATGGAGGAGATGGTCAGTAGTGCCATTTACTCGAGCCAGAACGATGAAATCGGGCCTGCAACGAGGAGGGAGATTGCAAGGCTTTGCGGGTGCATTCGGGTGCTTGTAGAAGGGGGAGTTAAGGTTGATGAGGATACGGTTATGAAAGCATATTCTGCGAGTTTGGACATTGAATTGGAGATAGGTGACGAGGAGGAAGATAGAGAAAGGAGGGAGGGAAGGGATTACCTAGGTGGTGAGAATGCGAGGAGAGTTGTGAATGCTGCATTGGGACGATGATAGTTTGCACTTCATCTGACATACAGATCCAATCAAAGCGAAGTCAAGCATATACATATCCAAATGAGAGCATGAGCCCATTTATCTATCCTTCGGGCGTTAATTTTCATTTTTTCCCTTAGTAGTTTATAGAAATCACATTATCCATGTAAAAAAGAAAAAAACAACAGATGGATATCAACTAAGACACGTACACAATGGTATATCAAAAAAAAGAAAGAAAAATCTACGGCTGGATCACCGGACAACAAGCTAGCTACTTGGACAGCTCAATCTGTAGACATCTATTCCGATAAAATGACATGGCGTTCTACAACTTGAACACTGGAACAATTCCCGTCCACTCCCCCCTTGCCCTCTCTTCCCAATACCCATCCTTCCCCGTCCTTATCTTCCAGACTGTCTCATCTTCAGCAGAAGACACACCACCCTCCCCCACAACCTTCACGAACCACCTAGGTCTCCATTGTTCCCCTCTTTCCTCCATCTCCCTCCGCCTTTCTCGCTGCCTTTCCTCCAACTCCGCTTTGAGCTGTTCCGCGCGGTCTACACTGCCCTCCTCCAGCGCGAGCTGGTCCGGCCGTAACCGACTATCCGTAACGGGGACCTTCCCTTTCTCAATATCAGTGATTTCATTCAGCGATGCAGCGAAGGTTGTGTATCCATAATTCTTCGTGGGTTTATCGACAAGCGACCCGGCTGCCCAGATGGTCTTGTTGGTCTCCATACCGTGTTCAGTCAGCTGGAGGGAGGTAGTCCAGGCCCCTTGGAGGCCCAGGGGCAGTTCTTCGCCGTGGGTATCAAAGGCTTTAACGGAAACTTCTTCGCTGCGGCCTGAGAACATGCCGCCAGCTTTGAAGGTGGCGATTGTCTTTTGGCCAGTGGTTTCATTCAGAACGCACATTTGGCCGACGGGTTCAACATATTTTTCACCTGCGATGATGTTACGAAGGAAGCATGTCGCAGGGGACCAGCTGAAATGTTCACCGTTCGAGTGTAGGGTGAGGCGGGCCTTTCCGTCTGTGATTATCTCAGCCGACTTGCCCCAAAATTTCTGCGTGGGTTTGGGCGATTGGGAAAAGCTCCAATCTTTGGAGTCTGCTTGGTAAGCTAGTTGAACGGGCCGGTGGGAGACTTTTTCGGCAATGAAACGGAAGCCACGGTCCTCGCGGATGAGTTCAAAGGTTTCGCCTAGCATGGGATTGAAAGGCTTGCGGATAGCACGTTCCTTGACCCGTCCATTGGAAAGCGGCGAGAGGGCAAATGCCGTGACGTAAATCAGACGTTCCAGGCCATCCGTGGCGCTCGCAGCATTGTCGAGGAGCTGGGAATATTCCAATTGTTCGGCTGCACGCTGAAGGAGGGATAATGGTTCGTTGGCAGATACCGGCATGGAAATAGTCGACAAATCTTTGCCCACGTTCTTGCGAAGAAAGCTTATCAAGCTAGGTGGTGGCATGGTCGGAGGCGGTATTTTGGTTCTCCGTATGACTTTATGATTAAGGGGCAGTGGGCCCAGTGATCTAGGTTTGGCTGGGAATAGAGATGAAGAATTATCCAGTCTGAACGGTTTGCTCATAAAGGTGTCAGCTTCGTCCACCTCGCTACCAGAGAGTGACTCTTCGTCTCCATCAGCAGTCACGGGAGATTCACTCCTTTCATACTCATCGTCACTGTCTCGTTGGATGGTAAGCAGTGGAGAGGCATTTCCATCTGTCGCATCGAAAAATTCCTGTGATGCCTCAGAATCGAAACTTGCGCGGGGTTTGACATGAGAGATTTTGGTTGGAATTTTCTGTTTTTTATCCAGCATGAGGGTAGAAAATTCTGACACAACAAAGTTAAGTTCGCGGAGTATTATCATCAAATCATCATGTACGCTCAGTTCGAGAGCGTTCGTCATTTCACCATGAGATTTAGCGTTCGAAGGACCATTCGCATTGGACGGCGGGATTGCCGTTTGTGAAGGAATATTACGTTTACCAGCTGGATTGGGAGTATTGCTGATATCTCGAGGCTTCAGTTTCCAGAAAGACCGCTTCTCTCTATTTTCTACCACTTCATCCAGACTACTCCCAGTCAGGGATTGGGGGAGTGTAGTAGTAGATGGGCTTTGTGACCGTTCTCGTCGCCCAATAGGGGTTCCCAGATATTTAGGATCTGTATCCTTCGCCAAACGACGCACCATATCTCTTGTATTCGATACTTTCTCAACTAGAGCTTCCACCTCAGCCCATTGTCGGACATCATTCACAACCGTGCTGGAAGACGCTGCCAACTCAGGACGAGGTTTTGGTCTTGATTCCGGTGGCACTCCATCTTGACTTTGCGAAGCTTTCTCCAATGCATGTTTCCACGCTAGGAAGTCAGCGTCAGTAGAGGCGCGGAGGTGCCAGATCTCCACTCCAGAATCAATCGATATTTCTCTGGTCTTTTGATTGGCCGCAATCGCTGCTAGGTTCAAAGGTATGGCGCCGCGGAGGGCTGACGAATTACGATCGTGATAGTACGATAATGTTGAAGAGGTAAAGTCGAGGGAGAAGAAGCGGCGTGCATATCCCTGATGACGCTTCCTTCTTCTCTTCTGGAGAATCCCAGTGTGTACAGTTAATGGAAAGCTTTTCGAAGATTCTGCGCTGTGAGGAGGTATTTTGCTGCTGGCCCAAGCACGACCATGTCGTAACGACTCTGTCGAGTCTGATGCCGTCGGATTTAACGCTGGACTCGGGCGCGGCTGGAGATTCCCAATGACTGTCCCTGCAGCTTGCGAATGGTGAATCTGATGGCCGGAATGTGGAGGAGCATTGGACGGGTAGGTCAGAAGGACAAAAGTTGCGGTTTTGGAGATTTGCTTTGAGAAGGTATTGTCAAATACGAGCGCATAGTTGCCGCCTTCATTTTGGCTAACGTCATAGGTTCCCTGAGAGATTTTGTCCGCTTCGCACTTGCCGATCCACTGGATTTGCTTCAGACCCAAACTTCTAAGTTTCTCTGTGACGACAGACGAAGAACTGGCAGTTTTGCTGTTTTCCTTATTCGGTTCAGTAAATTCGTTGGTAATAGGGTCGGAGGATCCAGAGCTGTTCAGGCTGCTTGCGACATTTCCGGACTGGCCGGGATGTTTGAAGATACCGAAATTCAGCGACTTCTTATGGGGTTGAATGCTCCAGGATATGGTATGTTCAGATTTGACGTTGATCCAACGTACGAGATAAGACTGTATTGGAAACCCATCTGTTAGCGGCAAATTGCCTTTGAGCAGGAGGAGGGCTATTAGGGGTAGGGCTCGCCGGCGAAGGGTATGGTGGGTACTTTGCTATGAATCTCCAACTCCTCCATTCCCGCCATGCCGCCAGATAGTCGATAATATTGGTATCTTTGGGGCGCGCGAGCGCGCCCTTGAAATTTGGAAATGGTTTGGAAGTGGAAAGTCCTATGGTGACCGAACCATGACCAAACCCACGGAGAGGTGGATAGGCAGAAAAGTGGAGTATATCGTACGGAGTGCTAGTATTTATATTCAGGTCTGCAATGACGCTAATAGTGGTAGCCCTGGGTCTGTGTCATCGAAGAGAAAGCCAGATATTACGTTCAGCACAGCACACAGCCCGACAACAGAGAACAGGGTAAAACGACCGTCGGCGAAACCAGGAGAAAGATCCAGACTGGGCTGATTTGTAAATAAAAAGTTATTCTGTCCTATAGTTAGTTGCAGCTTGTAACTAACTAACTTGAGGCGTCCATCGAGGCGGATCACATAATCGTACGGTCACATGATTCAGAGGGCTGGCATTGCATGGCTCTGCGCTAGTCCAAATCGAGGCGACCAGGCGATGCCGAGCCGGAGACCCCTGTCGGTTTCCGCCGTTCTCATTGGCTGTGAAAGAGGGAAATCACGTGGGATTCCATCAGTCAGCCTGACCGATCTCAACCTCACAAACAAAACTCATCTTCTCGCGCGCTTTCCTGATTGCCGGGATAACGCCAGAGTTGGGAGCCTGACAGCTCCAGTTTGCGACGGGCTCAATCGCGGCGTTATTGTTGTTACCACCAACTAGACACTCTTGAAGGGGCAACCAACTTGAACGCTGATGTCATAGCCACTTTAGCAGAGTAAGGAGATCTGACCGTTCTCTCCTCCTACCGAGAATCCTCAAAGTTCTTTCCCGGACCAGCAGCCGAATTTGCCCTCAAAATCGCTACCGTACGGTAGCAGCAATCCCGTGCATGGTTCATGTTAATTATCGGCTACTCGAGGTTAACAAAACCTATAGGGAACAGGTACTTATCCTCGTTGCTAGAAGCTGATCACTGGTTCCTACGGCTTGAATGCGAGTTATGACGATCTAAAAACAGGACAGGAGCGTGCTGTTTAGATGTATGGACAACAGGTGGTCCAGTCCAATGAGTACAAATGCTCAATCGCCAAGTTTTACTATCTGATATATGCCTGAGAAACTTATCTATTGTCAAATAGTTATTCCCTTACCCTGGCATCTCCATCCCCATAAGTTTTAAATCCTTTGCGAAATGGAATTGGCCCAGTGAACTTCCAGACTGACCCAAATGGAAAAAAGTTTCAAACTCATAGCGAAGCACCGACCGAGCATTTCTAGAGGTCAGCCTGTTCTGTTAAATACGTAATAACTGCACCACAAAGGCGCAACATCGATGCGTAAACAACAAATAAAAGGAGCAACAAACAGACAACGCAAGCAGAAAGTAGAACAAAAAAATGGTGTCACAAACTCCAATCCGGTCTTTCTAATTCGAAATTCCTCAAGACCGCACCATCCTCCATTGTCTGCTCCCCAGCAACGTGAAACCCACATTTCAACAATACCTTAAAGCTCCCCAGATTTTCCTCATTGCATATCGCATATAATTTGTCTCGTTTCCCCCATTTCCCTCTCCTCGGCAAGCTCCACCATGCTTTTATCATGGAACTGGTCGCCTCTGTCGCGTATCCTTTACCCCACTCATCTGGGTGAATGAGATACCCCAGAGTCGGCACAGGGACCAGCTCATTTATACCCACAGTGCCAATAATACGTCCAGTAGGATCGTCAGCAAGCAGAATGACGAATTGGTAGCGGAGTCCTACAGCACCAGGTGGGGCGGTGAATGTCTTTCGGGCCATCCATTGTCTGGTGGCGGAGACATCTGCATCAGGTATAAAGGGCCAACTGCCCGGGACGTCAGCCAGGCTCTAAGCAAGCGCCATATAACTGTTTACGAGACCAAGGGAAAGGGGAAACATTCAAGAAAGTAAAGAGAACTGAATTAAATAGAACAAAAATGACACCAAGGCAAGTCACGTCTCACAGTGTCCTCACAGTATCCTCTCTCGAGCGTATGGCAAACAGGCCCTCTGCATCTGAGTCACGGAGCGCACGGAGTAGCAAACGCGGGGAAGAAATGATTAATGAGGTAGATTCCGGCGGAGCAGGGAGGACGATGTCGAACCGGGGAAACTCTTCACTGGAGCATTCGGCCATAACACCCCGTGCTCCATGATTATTGCAACTATCATCCGGCATTATCTTCCAATTATCTAGCTAAATTTTCGAACTTCGATAACAATATACTCCCATAAGTGAAGTCGTACTGGATTCAATCGAACTCCAAAGGCAGGGTCTCTCCGTACCCAAATCCCACTCTTGTTCAGCCGGCCCGGAGGTAAAAAGCGTGCGACAAGGGACACCGCGCCCTTCGGAAAAATATACTTGCATATCATCCTTGCCTGCGAGATTTGATCATATTTTATTGCTTACGAGGACCATACGATTGGCAACTGGCTCTGACTTGTTCGAGAAAAACTGCCATGGAGATTCAACAGCCAACTAACCCCAGGCTAGAAACATTGAACCTCTTTCGAGAACATTCGGCCTGTGCAGTCGAATAAGCAACGCAGGGAAACAAAAACTGGCCGATTGGAATGGAGCCAAGTGACATCAAGCAAGAAACATACTTATCTACCTATTTTGATAACTCGCCGTCTCCATTTCAAATGCATGTTGCACTGACGTATTAGAAGAGGTTATAAATAATGCTTCCTTAGAATAAACAAACGATATCCAATCCTCAAAGCACCAACCAAGGAAGTTTCCGTGTCATTTGTGCAAGAATCGCAGTATTGCCGGAGGACGAACCTAAATGCGATTAGCATATTGCTGGCAGCTCCGGCTGAGGGCTGAACAGGGCTCTTCTTGTCTCTAACCGCCTCCCTCGCCGGGGTGATGTTTCAGTCCTTGGCTACGCTCTCGGGACGCTGTCCTCTTCAGTCAACATCAACCGACCGCACGAAACGTGTCTTGAAGATCTAGTTCTTCTGGTTCCACCAGCGTACGGAGTACCGCGAACCAGAACATAATTGACTAGCCCAGTTGATGAGCAACATGATGCATATAATTGGAGTTGTGCTATCCTAGCATTCAACGCACTCCCACCGGCGCCACTACCACCGCCATCCTTAACTTGGCTAGTATATCCGCAACAAACTCCTGTGCTTGTCACAAACGTTCTAGTGGGTCCTCAATATCTCGCTTCAAACCTTCAAAGGATAGGAGGCCGGACCCGTCTTCTTGCTCCCTGAACACGCTAGCATAACCACACCGGGTCCACGCTCGGCCATTCCTAATTGATATCCATCCCCGAATTTCAGCAGGCGCAAATCATAAAAAATGGAGAAATATGAAACATGCACAACAAAACGTCGAAGGAATCCAATGGTAAACTGTTTTGGATCCAGAAAGCTCCGTTGCGGGTCGGTTACAGCCAGCTGGCTTGTTTGTCCATGTATCCTCGACGGCCTAAGCATAACTGTGGACGCTTAGCAGCTAGACACTCCAGCCCTTGTACTCTTACATATTTCGGTGCTTCGGACCTCACGCGGGGCTTACGGGAAGATGATAAGGATGATGGAGCGGAGCTGTAGCAAAGCACTGTGCTGCGTTGATCTACGCATGAGTACTGATAGCCAGTCAAAAAAGAACAATGTGTCAGGGAGAAGCTGCTCCCAGCCTGATATGAGCACTCTACCGTGTCGATTCCAGCTAGAAAAATGAATAACGGAGGGCCGGGCTAGTTTCTGCTCGGTCGGACGATCTACTAAGTCATCGTAATAATAAACCCCTGGAGGAGACGAGGCAAGCTTTACGATAAGGCAATCTGTCCCGCTCGTCTTTCTTTTCCCTCCTTTTTATCCCTATTGAATACGTGCGGCAAACCCGAGTTGTTCTGGGGAGGAGAGAAGGGGAAAACGGAAGACAGAGCTTCAGCACCCTGTTATAACTCTGGCTGCTCTCCCTCTCTTTTACCAATCCTTCACCTATGTACTCTGTTTTAAGTCTCTTTTTAAATCTTGTTGTTCGCTTATTTTTGCCATTGGCCTTGGTCCACGCTCCCTTACTCCCTGAGGTTGTGAGGTGAGAAGCGGCGACTCAACCACATCAGATTGCCTCCAGCCCGGCGATCATGGCCACCCAGAACTCAGTAATGGCTGACGCGCACATTGAGAAAACGGAAAAGGAACCAGAAACATCAACTGAGATATCAAAAAAATCACCGGCGTTCTATCTTTCTGTTTTCTGGCTTTGCCTCGTGTCAGTGATCACATCCTTGGATTCCGTGATCATCACAGCGATCATACCGTCAGTTGCTAAAGACCTTCCGGGCACCACAATACAGCTTTTCTGGTGCGGAACGGGCTTCTTGCTGGCACAGACGGTTAGTGATGTTCAATCCATATAAATATTTTGATTTTAAACATTCCTTGATACCTATCCATCGCCTTTAGAAGCTTCATATTGAAGAGGAAGCCTTGTAGCATTATGAAATTACGCTAACATATTCACGTCAGGTTACCATCCCGATCTATGGCAGTTTCAGCGATATCTTCGGGCGGAAATGGGCTCTAAACCTCGCCCTTGTCATCTTTACATTTGGAAGTATCCTTTGCGCCACAGCCAAGCACATGCAATGGCTGCTTGCTGCGCGAGCAGTTAAGGGCCTCGGTGCTGGTGGTAACCTTAGCCTGGTCTCCGTGATCATTAGCGATATGACCACGCTGCAAGAACGAGGCTCGTACATGTCCTTGATATCTCTAGCCTGGGCCGTTGGCACAATAGCCGGAGTAAGCTAAGATTCCGGTTGAGCTCTTACTTGATACAATTGTGGCAACATGCAACAGACGTCTTGGGTCTCTGGCTAAAAATTCCGATTGTGGAAAAATTGGATATAGGTCCCCATTGGCGGCGCTATCGGAGAACGCGCAACGTGGCGATGGGCATTCTGGATAAACGTACCCATCTGCGTCATTTCCATCGTCGGTCTCACCATCTCACTCAGGTTAAAGACGGCAGAAACCACATTGAGGGCAAAGATTTCCCGCATCGATTTCCCTGGCATCTTCGTCTTCATCGGCTCGACGACTTCATTTCTCCTTGGCTTGACGACCGGCGGCACTCTCTATCCCTGGGGCTCTGCCAAAGTACTTGTCCCCCTGATCGTGGGCGTGGCCGGATGGGCTTTATTCATCCATATCGAGTTCAAATATCCCCGCGAGCCTATGATTCCGCTTCGGGTGTTCCATGACCGCACAGCAGCAACGGGAGGCTATTCTAGCGTATTCTTCCATGGGCTTATAGTGTGGTCGTTTTCATACTATGTTATTATCTTTGTAAGTTCATGATAATATGCTCTCTCTTTAAAGTATGGGTCTTGCTAGAGATCGTAGAGGATATGAAAACTTACGCTTCGCAGTTCCTGGGAGTTACCCAACACGGACTCCTCCACTCAGCCGTGGAAACACTACCGGGATCGTAAGTTGTTTACTGTGACTTGATAACCCTGCCCTGGCGAAGGGGAACAACCCCTCTCCCTCCAATTTGGGGGGGAAAATATAGAGAGAAAAAAAAGGACGAGAAGAAAGCAACAACTAACCCGCGAGGATCACATTGCAGCGCCTTCATCGCCCCCTTCTCCATAGCCGCGGGGATAATCATGACAAAAACCCTCCGAGTCCAGAAGGTAATCTGGACCGGCTGGGCCATCATGACGGTCGGCACAGGCCTCAACGCCCTACTCAAACCCCACTCAAACGGCGGCATCCTCTACGGCGTACGTATAATAATGCCGATTGGTGCCGGCCTCCTATTCCCCACGACGACCGTCGCCGTACAATGTGTGCAGAAGGGCGAGGACGTCGGCATCGCCACTTCCGTACAGGTCTTTGCGCGTAGCCTCGGCCAGGCTTTCGGTGTCGCCCTGGGCGCTGTAATTTTCCAGAACGAGTTTGACAGGTACGCAAGTCAGGCCGCGGCGACGGGTGGGCTTATTGGGAATGGTAATGCGAACATGGTCATACATGGTTCCCAGGCGGACGCCGCGTTTGACCTCATCAAGACGTTCCCAGAAAATGTGCAGGAGGTATATCGGTACGTGTACGCGGATTCGTTGAGGACGGTTTGGTATGTGCTTACGGGGGTTTCTGGGTTTGCGTTCCTGGTCAGTTTGGCGATGAGGGATGAGAGTCTGGATAAAGATGCGAAGGGGAGGCATCAGTTCGACCATAAGAGGAACGGGGCGGCTCTTCAGGTCGAAGATGCTGAGTAGGTGAAGGAATGCACTGAGAATTCGAAGCGCTACTGCGCTTCGAGCTCTAGGTGACCCGACGAACGGAGGAGAGTTGCCGACAACGCGAAAGGGGGGGGGGGGGGAAAGTCTAGTGCCATTACATATATTATTTATTTATCTGGAACCATTGCTCTCCGGCTTCTGTTTTTTTTTTAAAAAAAAACACATTGTATAGCTATTGTAAAAAGTTGCCAGCATTGCTGAATCTCGAAAATTTTCTCAAAACTCTGAATTAATATATATATCAATTTCAACGTTGGGCATGAATGCTCGTTGGTCAAGCGCCATGGATTCTCTCCTCCGTTCATTATACTGTTGCGTCCATGCAACGTTGATGGAAGTTTTGTAGTTGGAATGAGAACGATATAATCCTATGACAGCAAGTTTCCCATCGATGTCATCATATATTGGAAATGATACAGCGCCATCTCGTTCCATAATACCATGGCAATTCTAATTCTGTTGGTAAACAAGTGACAAAAACGAAGAAGGGGTTATCGGTAGAGGAAGTAGATTTAAGTAAGGTCCCCCGGCTATATTTCGCAGAAATAACGTAATCAACTGAAAAAATGTGAAAACAGACACAGAAACGAAACAGAAAAAGCCCGCGTAGCAATACACAAGTTTGTGATGATATGTAATGGATGTACCTATTGCTTCAAACCAACCTATTTATCTATCCATCCATTATGCCACAGAAAAAGAAACGAAAACGGAGATGAGAAAAAGGTACTCCCTGCTTTCAAATCCAATCAATCTAAGCATCACCGACAAAAATCACTTATACCCACCCCCGCCGCCCCGGGTCTTAGCTCTTGCCTGCAAATTCGCAAAGAGCAGTTTAAATCCATTACACAACGCCATCATATCCGGATACGGGTTGCGTTGCAACTCATACCCCTGCGGGATGACCTTGACAGCCCAGCTATTCAGCTGCGCATTCTCGCCCGCCTTGAAGCAGAGGTGGAAATAGCCCGGGTGCTTGCGGTCGATGCAGAAGGCGTAAGCGGAGCGGCGTGGATTGGCTATTGTATAGGTTGTCAACCAGCCCTCTGGATTGGTGCGGATGGAATGTCAGCTTCTTGTTCTTGGCCATTTACTTATACATTCATTTATTTTGAAGAAAAATGCTCCATGAAAACTTGTGATTTAAGTAAAGGTTTTTTTAGAGTCTTACCTGCATCAGCCTTGCTGCCCTCTTGGAACTTCTCATGATTCATCATATCATCCACCTTCTTGGCCATGGTCTTGATATGATTGACGATAAACTCATCAAGATCACTATACGAGTACCTACCGCCAACCTTCAAAATCTTACCCACGGAAAACTCATTCTCCTTGTCTAGTTCAAGTATATCAAGGTGCTGGTAGACGCCATCAGAAACCTTCCAGGTAGCTGCGAGATGATCGATCCCGTTCGACGATGGTCTGATCACCACATCTCCACGGCTCTGGGGCGCCAGGAACTCCTCAGCCTGCGCAGCGTTGAAGGCGCGGAAAAGCGGATGTTTTATAACGCGCATTGTTCTGCCGCTGGTCTCTGTCTTTTCGCGCAGCGCCTCTCGATCCGCGTCTTCTTGTCGCTCATCCCATTCGTCGCGGAGGTGGTCGAACTGCCGTCGATAGGGCTTGCTGATCTGGCTTTCTCGAAGGGAAACGTTGGCCTGGAGGAGTTTACGGTTGAGGTAGAGGATTTTTCCCTGCACCGTTTGGTGGGGGGAGAAAAGGCTTCGAACGGGAATGTCATAGCGGTCAGTTATTTCGACTTCACCAGCGATAGCGTCAATTCCGCAGTCTAGCTTGCCGTCGATATGATCGTCTGAAACGCGTTTGATGGAGATAGGTACGACCATCCCCTCTGCCAGGGACTCAGTCGTTTCTCCAGTCAACATAGTGAAGATTGCATCTGTACTTAGGAAGGCGAACTGTTTCCGCAGTTCTTCATACGGTTGTTGTAATTCCGCACGGATAGTTTCGAGGGTGGCTCGCTTTCGCTGATTGAGGTTTTTCTCGAGCTGTTCAGCATATTCCTCGAGAATAAGATCATTGACTCTATCTTGCGCGTCTTCCTTGATGAGTTTGCGAATAATAGCGCCTTGGCCGTTTTCATCTGTTTCTGCCTTGATATCTTCCTCGTCCAGCTCCAAGGCGTCGGCGGCCATTTTCCGCCCGATATCATAGTCTTCGGGATGAACACGTGTATTATCAAGGTAGTCCGCATCGGGATCAGTGCTGTCATAATCGATATAGAGGAAACTTGCACAGTTATTCCAAACTTTGACACCCATAGCCGGATATTGAGCATTGACGCCTAAAAGCTCCATCCTATTGTTGACAATGCCTCCGTTCATATTGATAATCTTAAGAAGTTGAGCAGCTTTGCGGGGTCCAAGGCCGCAGACGTAAGTAAGCAGATTCGCTGTTGCGATATCGGTGACGGCTTCGTTTATGTCGACACCACAAAGGTTGACCATGTCCACGAGAGCCGTTTCGAGCTGCTTCAGGATTTTGTCCTCAGGAACAAGTTGTTGGCCCGGTTTGAACTGAATCGATACAATGTCTCTACCCAATGATGCATACTCCTTCATAGGATTCTGCAGATACTTGGCCAGCGCGACACAGTAGTGAGTCAGGGTAGCGAAACCAGGGTGTTCCATTTTAGCCCGCTCGCTCGTCTGGTAGAGTCGCGCAACTTCATCATTCACGATAACCACTTCCAGATGATCGCTGACTTCCTCATCGTATTCGTTGGTGTAAGTAGCGCTGCGCAGGTCTTTCGAAGAGACTAGATCCACCAATTGTTTGTAAAGCTTTCTAGTTTCGGGAGAGAATCCGGCTACACCGATAACATCAGGTTTGCGTCTGTCAACGAGTTCAACAAAGGCAGCAACATCTATTCCATCTGAAACCATACGGCCTGAGTCACCTAGAGAGAGGTCGACAAATTTCCCATTCTCCAGCACTCTACCATCTTCTTCAATCCACGCCCAGTAGATAGGATCTTTCCCAACGACGCCGTTTCCATTCGATAACGCAAGGACTCTAGGAATAGTGCCTAGGATCATCCCCTTCGGTTTGTAAGGGGCCTGGTCAAGTCGTAGCGAGAACGCTTCTCTGCACTCCTTGGCGACATGGTTCTCGCATTCCGTCCTAATATTTTCTTTAACACCTCGACTCATGATCCTATCGAGTTTCCCAAGGGCCATATCAACGACCTCCCTCCGCTCTCTGTTCCACGCATCAGCAAGCTCGCTGAAATTGTCCGACTCAATCTGCGAATAAAGGTTTTTCTTGAAATTTTCAAAATTCTGGAATCGGACTTTAACCTCCACTAAGCCCTCTTCCTCCGCCTTGAGCATCCTGAGAAAAAGTTCCGGGCGGCGCGCAATATCGCTTAGCTGTTGGTTTCGAAGGTACTTGAATTCGTAATACGGATGTTGTTCATCGATCTTCTTTAATCCTTTTTCCGTTCTGAAACACTCAATAACCCCATTCATGTAAAACGCCTGCCTCATTACCTTGCGCATCTTCGGACTCATCGTGAGTTCTTCCGCAAACATTGCTTTCGCAGCCTTCAAAGCATGGCCACCATTTGTGAAATTTTCGTCAACAAGATTATCTGCCATGACATCCGGTTGTTCGGTTGGGTCTTCTGTATATTGTCGCTTCCCTTCCTTCAGCGCATTTTGTGCGAAAGCATCCGCAGTGATACCAAATGCACGGACCAAACCATACGCCCGGCTATTTCTGACACGTTCAGAGAAAGTCCTCGTGGTAGCTTTTCGTCGTTGCTTAGAGGACCCATTTTCACCACTTCCATTGACCATTGCAATATCCTTCAGTTGACCAGGGTACTGGAAGTAAAGATAGTCCTGCACATCCTGCAGCTCCTCCATTGTCACAGCTAGCGGCAACATCAATTCGAAAATGTTATCCTTTACGTTGCTAATGGCTTGGAGGTTATCGTATGTCTTTTGCAAGGTGTTACGCTTATCGACAAGTGACCGGAACTTGAGATCATATTCAAAAATATCCCACAAATCTATCATATTCAACAACTTCTCGGCTTTGACGACGTACTCTGGGCCATCCGGATTGGAAGGATCAGGCGACACCGGCACTTTAGCTGCGTGGATAAGATAATCTTTGCGATGCTGGAATATGAACGGGACTTCCCAATCATCAGTGATCATGAACTCGAGGACTTTGGCAATTGATCGCTGAAATGGCTCGCGCAGATCCGGATCGATGCGCTTCTTCAGTAACATCAGGTTCGATATCCAGATCGCCTCTTCCTTGAACTCCTCGTCAGTCAATATGACATGCTTGTATGGTTTTCTCGCGATCTGACACCGTTCGGGTTCGTCAGTGAAACGAATTACATTATCCTCCTCGGTCAACATTTTCTCCGCAAGTTGGGACGGCTCGAAGACATCCTTGAGGTCAAGATGCTTTTCTTCATCTTCGTCCAGTTCTTCTTCTTGGTCTTCGGCCTCAAGCGCGAATTGATAATCATTCCCGTCACCAAAAGCCATCCGCATGTCTTCCAGCGCTGTTTCATCAAGGCCTGCGGCATCCGTCACACCGAATCCCGATAAGCCTTTTTTCATGGGGCGTGCAATTTCCTCGTCTTCTCTTAACTGTTCGTGATCTTCGTCTGAAAAGACATCGTCCTCAATGAAATTGTCCATATCATCCTCCATCCCCCGTCGTTCATGGCGCCCGATCCTGCCATAGTGATCAACATCTTCTTCCTCGTCGGAGTTAAACATGTCATCGATGCCGCGAGAGACATGGCGATCCCTATCGGATTTATGGCCGCGCTTCAGACGCTTGAACTTTGACTGCTGAGAAAGCAAGACAATATGTTAGTTCTAGTGTATTGTGTATTTGTATCAAGGTTGTGTATATCTGGGCCATACCTCAGAAGGTAGCGCGCGCTGTAACTCCGGGTTATTTTCTCCAATCAAGTAGATATCTTCCTCGTCAAGATCCTCGTCTTCACGCTCGCGTTCTACCTGACGACGCCTTTTCCGCTCGCGACGACGTTCTTCCCGTTCCTCGATTTCCTCATCTTCGTCGACGATGAATCCTTCGCGGACCTACAAGTAATAGGGCAGGCTCTTTAGTTCGCGAGTTTTGCAGACAAGGAAGGGTTTTGTGGGGTTAGAGCTCACAGCGCGTTCAGCCTCCTCGTCGTCGTCTTCCTCATCTTCTTCGCTTGAATCCTCGAATCGCCCGTTTGCATGCTCGTGTTCTGCTGGGGCACCGTCGGCTCCTTCCCCGTCATAGGATTGATCATCCTCCTCGTCGTCAAGCAGGGCTTCGTTGTCGAGGAGGTCTCGAGACGTCATGATTGCTGGTTGCCGTGCAATGCTGATTCTAGGGCCAAGCCAGTCGACAGCGCGAAAAAGGGCCTGAGATGCACAGGCACAACAAAGGGGAGGGATGGAGTGGTTGGAGTGGTGCTGGACAAAAACCGCAGCAGGAGAAGCTTCGACATTCTCCTGATCGGGAATGGCGACGGTTCAAGAAGAAGCTGCCGACTGTGGCGGGTGCTGCGTGTGGCTGGTTACGTTGTGGCGCATATCGCCGCTTGAGAGTGGCTTTAATCCGTATCGGGAATAGCGGGGATCGCTGGACAAAATGACTTGACAAAAATATCTATCAAATAAATACCTATATATGACTCTATGGGCAAGTACTCTTGTTCTGAAAGCGCTTCTCTGGACTGCTGGTAGCTCATCATAACTGAGCCTGCGATGTGGCTGACCTGTTGGTGTCTTGTGGCTAGCCGGCCAATAACTACTAGCATCCATCATTACCTCTGGAGTCCAGAGCAGATGTTCTGAGCACAACGATGTCTGTTAAGGAACATTCCATATTTATTTTCTCCAGAGCCCCAGGCATAGTGGAAATACGGGAATACTGGTACTATTGGCCAGGTTTTTATAACAATATTTGCCCAAAAGGAGCTCGAATGCCCTGGGTATTTATTGGCAATGGTGGCTCAAAATCAGCCAAACACAGATCGTTTAGCGCTATTTAACGCCTAAAAGAATCAGAAAGAAATCGTCAACAGAACTAGCCTATCCGATTGATGCATTCGACCCCACGACTGATATAGAGAGAGAAGAAGGACCAGCTCACGCCATTTGCAATCTTTGCAAGGATATTCGAAAGGCCAGCCACGAACATTCTCCCATGCCCAACACTCGCAATTATCAGTCCGTACGAGAGGGTAAATTAACGATATCCTCCCAATGGGATGTTCCACAGAGCAGAGAGGGGGGGAGGGGGGAGATTAATACCTCGCGCCGTGTTCCCAACCCACAGGCCAAGCCGATGCTGGGCCTTTCTGGGCGTGGATTGGCCACGCTATGGGGTCATTCAGTCCTACTTTCTGCTAGACTTCCGGATCGAAGGGGCACGGAGAGTTGCAAAATTTGGGGGCCATCGGCTGGTCCCCTGCAGCTGAACGGGATTATTGGCTGGTGAGTGCAATGTAGTTATATCCAAGGAAAAACAGTTCCAGGCAGAGAATGACGGCCACGGCTACAATCGCGAGCGGAGGATATTTCCTACAACTATGAATAGTGATTTGATCGTTATATTTAATTCCCAGAGTCCCCACCATAGCCAAAGCCTCCCCTCCATTAATATTAGATTTACGTACCTGTACATAAAGTTCAAGTTAAATATTTGACGAAAGCCCAAGAAAAATAGTCCGCAATAGCCACCCGTCTCGTTCCATCCTGTGGCAGCAGAAAGGGGCTTGAAGTTATTTGCAGCAATTCTAACTGACACAGAGGTCTTCTCCTTCTGTGCCCGTCTGGTATGTTGAAATAACATCCAGATTATATGCGCTGAGTGGGTTTGTTGCTGGCGGTGCCCAATCACCCAATTATTTATTTACCCATTCATCCCCGTCCAGCCCCGGCCCCTCCAAACCCAACATTGGCAACAACCAGACGAGCCAACTCACTCTCTTACAACAACATTCAGGCATAACTACATATATATACATATATATATTACTTACGCCACAACCAGAGGGCAGCAGCTCCGACTCTCACTCTTCCTCCATTCACTCGCTCACTCACAGCACCTCACCACCGCTCGTTTCCAGGCCTTGAATTTCCCTTTCCGTCATTTGCGCCCGACCTGCAGTAAGCAAGGTCGAGATCTGCCAGCTCATTTCGCTATCCAAGAAAACAATAAGATAAAAAGTAAAAACGAAAAAGCAAAAAGCAAAAAACAAAGTTAATTAAATAAGGCCTCCGAATAAAGCCCCTCCCCCCAAACAATGGGAGACTCCTTCAAGGCGCGGACACTGAAGCGAAAGAATGTGAAGGGGCTAGCTCTCAATTCTGCGGGGCCAAAGGCTGGCTCCAACACTTCAGATGGCGATGCTCAGATACCAGGTGGCTTCGGCAATCAAGACGGTAACCGGACAGACACACTAGAGATCGGACTGGAGTTTAAGCTCGATTTAAGGAGTGAGGACCTGGTGGTGCTGAAGGAGCTCGGGGCGGGCAATGGAGGGACGGTCAGCAAGGTGATGCATGCGTCGACAAAAGTCATTATGGCTCGGAAAGTGTGTTCTTTACTGTTTTCTCCCGTTTCTGCTTCGGTAGGAACCTGTTGGCATATATTTGTGAACGCAATTATCTAACCGTTTTGGCCCCGGTGCTGTCGTTGCATCTAGATCATCCGGGTAGACGTCAAAGAGAACGTGAGGAAACAGATTGTGAGAGAGTTACAGGTCGGCCATGATTGCAATTCGCCATACATTGTTACGGTCTACGGCGCTTTCCAAAATGAAGCCAGGGATATTGTGCTCTGTATGGAGTATATGGATTGCGGGTAAGTGTTCGTTGTGCTTTTGTTGATGTCAATTTCTTTTGATTACTATTCAATAGACTGGAAGCAGTATAGGGAACTAATTCATGTGTCTCCGGCAGTTCCCTTGACCGTATCTCCAAAGACTTTGGCCCCGTCCGTGTCGATGTCCTCGGGAAAATCGCAGAATCTATCCTCGCAGGCCTTGTATACCTATACGAAGTCCACCGCATCATGCACAGAGATATCAAGCCCTCCAACGTCCTAATAAATTCGAGAGGAAATATAAAGCTTTGCGATTTTGGCGTGGCTACCGAAACCGTCAACTCGATAGCGGACACTTTTGTCGGCACATCGACATACATGGCTCCCGAGCGTATTCAGGGCGGGGCATATACCGTACGCTCGGATGTGTGGAGTGTTGGTTTAACCGTAATGGAACTGGCTGTGGGCCGCTTTCCCTTTGATGCAACCGACTCGGCTGCGGGTGATCGCGCAAGTGCGGGGCCAATGGGAATTCTGGATCTGTTGCAGCAAATCGTGCATGAACCCGCACCAAAGTTGCCCAAGAGCGATGCATTCCCGCCAATCTTGGATGAGTTCGTTGCCAAGTGTTTGCTCAAGAAACCGGAGGAACGTCCAACGCCGCGGGAGCTCTATGTAAGCCCACATACAGAATCCACCCGATCAGTCTCATAAAGGAGGCCTTCTTTTTGTTCAAGATATATCTATATCTATGTCTATTTTTTTTTCATTCTCATTCTGAATAGAATCTCTAACATGACCGACTCCACAGGACAAAGATGCTTTCCTCCAAGCTGCCAAACGAACCCCAGTAAATCTCCGCGAATGGGCAATCAGCATGATGGAACAGCACAACAGGAAATCATACCTCGCACCACCAGCCCCGAAAGCAATCACGCGAGACGGCTCGAGGGATTCCATCTCCCACTCCCGAAACGCAGAAGCGTCCCCTCGAGCCCGCTACACACCCACGTCCGGAGAAATCCCCCTGAACATTGCCCGGGAACCTACCAGTAACAACAGCAGTGCCGGGCAGATGTACGGCGACCCAATGTCCGCCATTGAACCCTCGTCAACAATGGGCTTCGAGCATCTCTCGCTCGGCAGCGCAACCCACCACCATCCAGATTACAACCACAACCCCCTTCAGCATTTAACCTCAAACGGCAACGGACACAGCAACAACAACAGCAGCATTCCTCACTCGTCGCGGCAATACCCCAGCCATCCGCACATCGACACCTCTGTCCCGCAGTATGCATCCCCCATGTCGGCGTCTGCCACGACCGCGCGAGCCCCCATACAATCTGCGACTTTGCCGTCAAGGCCGGCACCGCCTCCTTCCGGCCCACTTCCTGCACCTCCTGGCTCCGCGGGACCAGGCGGTTGGCGGACGCAGAGCCATCGAGTATGAATAGCGAGTGCTGCGGCGGTCCAGTGGAGTGGAGCGGAGAAAGAGTGGGGATATCAGATCCTTGGGGGATATGCGATTCAAGCCGTCATCCCTCCCTCTCTCTTTTTTTTTTTTTTCGTTGTTTTGGGGCGTTTTGGTTGTGAAATTTATTATTCTTCTTTCCTTCATCTGTTTTTCTTTTCTTCTTCTTTTTTTTTCGTTTTCGTTTTCATATTTCATTTTACGGGTTTCCTTGTTTCGAAGACGGATCGACAATCAAATCACTCTTCCTGGTTCTTTTATCTAACTATTTAGTTATTTATTTTATTTATTTACTCATTTTATTTTTACCTTCTTTCTTTTTCCCTTCAAAAGAGGGGGACCTTTATTATTTATTTATTTTTTTTTTCCCCTACTAGTCAACTTGTATTTATCATCGTATTTCTGCAGAATATAAATAAATATATTTTTGAACTTTTGATTGAAAAAATACCTCTTATATCATCCAGAGGTTATCTATCTATCTATCTATATACCATCCCCCACCCCGTTGCAATGAAAGGGAGAACAAACATGCAGGTAAGGTTTCTTTTCTTTTCTTTTCTTTCCTTTTCTTTGAACCATTTGATCTAACTAGTTAAGAGGCTAGATAAGACTGTCCAGCTTGACTTGCAAAATTAGAAAAGTGAGAACAAAAACATATCTATCCGTAACTCACAAATCCATCGTTTTTCTATTGTATAGTACATAACTACATAACTACACACAGCACAGTCACGCCGCGGCGACAAACCCCCCCCCCCACACTTCATATCCTAACACCACAGGCATCCATGCATACCAGTACAGAAAGTAGGAGAAGGTAGAAGAAGAAGAAGAAGAAGAAGAAGAAGAAGAAGAAGAAGAAGAAGAAGAAACAAACAGCCCTCACCTCAACAAACCAACCCGCGATGCGATGCGATGCAAGCCAAGCCCGAATGGAAAACCCCCGCGCAAAAAGCAAAAACGATCTTGTACAGAATAGCGGATAGCGGATAGCGGATAGCGGATAGTGGATAGCGGAAGATGCATCTCGCTAAATACAATAGAATATAATACAATATAAGATAACAGAATATAATATAATATAACATGAGTAAGTATAACTAGTATAGGAGACGTGAGGGACATGTAAGGAATCACCCAACCCCATCCATCTATGCCGTTCTAAGGGGTATCTTGTTGTTGTTGTTGTTTTTCATGGCAACTTCAGTAAAAATGATTCGTGTCCTTCATCTCCGTGTATATGTGTGTGTGCGTCCTTTTCTTCCCTGGAAGCCGAAAAGGAAAGAGAAGATGGAATGGTAGGGGAATATATATATATATATATATATTTATATGATTTAGCTACTCCACGGTGAGAATTTCGATCGAGGAGGAAGGGGGAGGAGAGGGAAAAGGGAAAGGAGACAGGAATGCATTGTATGTATGTATGTACGTATGTATGAACTGTACTTTGGCGTTGTATGGATGCTATATCAACAAGGAAATGGCAGGGGAAGAAAAAAAGAGAGATAGAAAAGGGTATGTAAATGAAGAATTAGTTAAGGGTTAGAAACAAGGAAGATGGAAAGAAAGAAAGAAAGAGGAGGAGAAGAGGCGCCCCGAAAACGAGTTCAAAAAAAAAAAACGAAGAAGAGAAAAATGGGAAATGAGGAGTCAAATATCCAAATGGTGATGAATTTTGATAGGACGCTGTAATAACAAGGGGAGGGGCCGGGGTGGGGAGGAAATGAAGACGTAAAAGAAGATCCCCGAAAAACAAAGAAGAAAATGAAAGAGAAGAAAAAATCAACTCAAAACATTTCAACTCCTTTCCGCCTCCCGCCCTTCTTCCCACCTCCACCCCCACTACTACTACTACTACTACCACCACCATCCATCCCCTTCACCTTCCTCTTCACCACCGGTCTCACCATGACCGGCAAACACTCCAAAACCCCTCTGCTCCCCTCGAAATAATGCGTCACAAAACCCCATCTCAGCAGCCGCCGCAGGGCCGCCAGCCGCAGCCACTTCCACCAGCGGTCCAGCTTCATGGACGCATCCTGGTGGATCTTCACCGTCTTGCGCGTGCCATACTGGCGGGACGTCTCGTTGTCGATGGCCCTGCTGTACTGCGGGCCGCGGCGCGGGTTGGCGATCGTGGTCAGGATCGAGGAGAAGTTGGCGTGCAGCGAGCGCTTGGACTTCTTGTTGATGTGGCGGCCGGACACGTTGGCGAGCGCGTCGACCTGGCGGAGGATCCGCGGCGTGTTGTGGTAGGGGTTGTAGCGCTTGATTAGAGGGGGGCCGTTGTCCACGCCGCCGCTGCCGGCATCCTCGTCGTCGGATAAGAGCAGCGACGAGGCCCCTTCCCCGTCCGAGAACTCGTTGTTCCCCTCGTCCTCGCCGTCGTCGATTGACTCCCCTTCCTCCAGCGGGGTGTAGCTCTTCTCGTACAGCAGGGCGATATTCTCGCCCGCTGCAATCTGCACGGATGCTTCGCTGCTCTCCAGCTGCTCCACGAACGCCTCGATAGCGTCCTCACTCTCGTGTTCGAGGTCCTCGACTTCCGTCGCGAGGAACCCCCACTCCTCCAGCGCAGCCGTGACGACATCCGCATCGTCGCCCGCGTTGACGTAGTGGCCGTCCGACGAGACGATCTCGAGCAGGAAGTTCATCTGCTCGAGGATCTCGTCCTCACCGGCGCCGCCGAAGAAGGTGCAGGCGCCCAGGCAGTGGATGGCGGCGGCTTTGATGGGCATGCTGGGGGAGTCTGTGATGGTCCGTCGGAGGACGGAGACCATCTGGTCGTAGATGGATTCATCGAGGAATGTCAACACCGTGAGGCTCACTGCTTTCAGGGCGAGGACGGTCTCCTTCTCGCTGGACTCGGACTTGATGCTCTTCGCGAAAGAGGCGAGCAGTTCGTTGAAGTCGGGCAGGGCTTCCTCGACGTAGTGGGATGTCAGGATGCGGACGTAGGCGGTCAGGGCGTCCTCGCGGCTAAGGACGCTGCTGCGTTTGCGGTCGTTGAAGTCCCTGATCACGTCTTCTAGGTCTGCTTGCCAGGATTCGGAAGAAGCCGTCGTCTCCTCGTCGTTTGCGGAGGGGAAGTACTCATCGAGCGACGGGGTGCTGTACGATAGAAGAGAGAAGAGTCAGTTGTACGGGATATATATATATATATATATATATATATAGATATAGATATCTGTGTAAATGGGTAAAGTAAAACGTAATCAACATACCTGTAAGCGGTACCTTCACTCTCACCATCCTCATCATCCGACGGATGTCTGCTCGCATTCCGGGAGGAAGGACGGGAGTTGTGGGCGGAATTTGTGCGAGATGTAGCACGAGAGGCCTCGCGGCTCTGCGCCTTGCGAGAAACGGTCTTTTTGCTCTCGAGAGCCTGGCGACGGAGATCCCGCATGTTGGAGATATATATAGAGGGAGAGGGAGAGGGAGAGAGGGAGAGAGAGTGCGTATGCGTGTAAGTAGACTGACTGCTGTCGCCTGTCGAGAGGGATACTATATTGAATGCGCCGGTGCGCAACAGGCGAGGCAGAGACTCTCTCGGGTCAGATGGTATGCTAGGGAAAGGCGCCGCGAAAGTTAAAATAGCAATAACTAGCACGGGTGTATAGTGCACACGGGCAGGAAAAGGGGGGTCTTATATCGCTGTCTATTGTCTTTTTGTTTTGTTTTGGAGTGGAGAAGGAAAAAAAAAAGAAGAGAAGAGCGGGGTGATGGTGGAGAGTGGATGGCGGGGTGTGGAGAAGAAGAAGGAGAAAAGAGGAAGCAGAGAGGAACAAACTTGAAGATAGCCAACTATGGAACTCATAAATGACGTAAAAATTAAACTGCGGAATTTCCACACACAGTTGTGAAATACCAGTCCTCCGAACAGTACTAGCAACCGTGTGTCTGTATACCTTGTCTCTCGAATATATTTCTCTATCTCTCTATCTCTCTATCCCATCCCCGTCCCCGTCTCCATCTCCACCTCGCTGTCTCTGCCTCTGCGTTGTCAAACAAAAAAAAAAGCGGTGGACACCTTCCCGATCGGCGCAGTTAGGGCTCGCCCCCTTGCCGCATCCGGTTAGCTAGCCGAGGCCGGCACATGACGTCATTTCTAGTATTCGCAGTCAACCCGAGTTCGCAAGCAAAAGTCGACTTTGATCTTTGGTGGTGGTAGTAGGAGTAGGAGTGGGAGTAGTATTAGTATTAGTACTACTCGTTGCTATCGGCTGTGGCGAGCGTCGGCGGGATCTTGGAAGCAGTCGTCGATATGACATCAATCTTGTCGTCGTCAAGCCACGACTAGTGCTAGTAGTTCAAGGCATGGGACCCTTTCCCCCCCGTTCTTCACAAAATGGTGTCTTGGCTTGGTTGGTCGTGTTTAACGAGTCTATGGATAAGTAAATGCGATGTATGTATGTAGTTGAATGAAGGTATGTACTCCTTGGCCTCGAGGGAATATTCTTTGTACTTTTCCTCCATATTTGTTCTATTACTTATCAACCCAGAATTCATCTTCCCTGGAGTTAATATAGAGTGAGCGGCCCAACATGGTCCTCCTGAAATCTCCTTGAATTTCCAATCACCGGCAAAGAAAGATACTAGTAGCTGGGAGAAGGGAAAAAAGAGCATAGATCAGGGATTTGGCTAACTATGTCGGAGCCGAGGGGACGAAATTGAATGCTCAAGATACTCTAAGTTGACCATCGCACGAAGCAAAAAAAGAGGCCCTGGCACAAGTCTGGTCTAGACTCCGCCCCGGATTCTTCAAAATGATGTCTGCGTGCACTTCCAGCATTTGTTTTATGTTAAATTAGTTATTTGCTTTTCGCAGGCTGGCTCTGGATTAGACAGGGGGGAAGGTTGACTTGCGGCGAGACTGCAGTTCTATCAAGTTACCTTTGTATAGATAGATTAGTTGCTCCTGGTAGTTATGGTACAAACCTCCTGGCAAGTAGCAGTAGCACTACTACTACTACTACTACTAACAGTCCATACCAGTATTCATCTCCGAGTCCTACTCAAGAGCGCTGTATCAGTCAACCATTTCCTGTCCCATCCACCGTCCTTCTGCCCTCGGGGTGGTCTCGAACGAAGGCTTGTTTCCGAGACGGCGTCGAGCAACGGCTTTCCCAGGTTGCTTCAAGTTTCCATTGCTTCCCTGGCTTCCCTGGCTTCCCTGGCTTCCCTGTACCCTGGCTGGCATGGGTGTCTGCTGTCTGCTGTCTGCTGTCTACTGTCTGCAACGGCGAAAAAACATTCAATTACGTCAACCACAAGAAACTCTTGTGCTAAGTGATCTAGTGCAAGTAAATAACCAACTAAGAATCCTGCCCAAGCTAGAGCTCTGTTGTTCAGACTTCAGACTTCAGACTTCAGCGTCCAGCTGACATTTCTGTTTTCTTTTTTTATCGTGTTTATTTTCTACTCAGTATTTATTTATATTCCCTAGCCACGCAAACCTCCAAGCGCTGTTTGCTGTTTAAAGCGACGCCAGACCGAGACAAACCTTGGGAAGCACCAGCCGCAGGAAGCCAGTGGCTCCGCCGTCCGTTCTTCCCTCGCCACCCTCGATCCCTTTTACTTGTTGATATCTCCAGCAGAAAAACAATAAAGGGCTTCCCCGTCCAAGTCGCTATCCTGGCGCTAATTCCAGACTCCGCGAAACGTTTCCTTTGCTTCGCTCCCTCCCTTGGCCCCGCTCCTGCTGTTGCCGCCGCTTCGCCCTCATCCACCCGAGACCATCCGCCTCCACGACCTTCCAAGACGCCTTCACGCAGGCCTAGAAGAGGCCCACGGCCATTTTCGGTATCCCTCCCCCTGGGATATGGAGATATGTTGATGCCTCGAGAGGCCCTGCTAGTCGGCTCCGCGACGTCCGTGAGCTCGGGATCGCATGCTGGTTCTAGTACCCCGAGCTCGACATCACTCAGCCGTCGCCCGTCGAGCGTTGAATGCTGCGGCTATGCCCACGGCCGCAAAAGTGACGAGTCGTTATCCGCGCTGTCGCTGTTCGGGCATGAGAAAGTTGTCGCCTCGGCCAATGGGATTGCCGTTTCCATCTGCCTGGCTGAGCCGGTGCTGTTTCTTGAAGGGTTCGATCGCGATAATGCAGACACCACCAAGACATCGATTCTGCGGGGGACCCTTCGCTTGAAGCTATCCAAGCCGGCGAAGATCAAGAAGATCTGTTTGAACTTCAAGGGCATGGGACAGACGAATTGGCCTGAAGGTGGTTCCCTACTTGTTCCTTTGCTGTTCCTTTCGTTTCCTTTGTGTGTGTGTGTGTGTGTGTGTGTGTATAAAGCATTTCTATTTTGAATGTATTTCATATATAAGCTAATTTTCTTCTTGAGTTTTATTTTTACAGGAGTTCCACCCAAAAAGAACCAATTCCACGAGAACCATGCAATATTGAATCACACCTGGATGTTATTCAATGCGCAGCTCCCAGATGCCGAATATAGCCACGGAGCCGACCACATCAGACTCAAGGTCGCAGCGGTGTCGACGAAAGAGCTGGCAGCGTCGACAATCGAGCTCCTCGCACTTTCCGCTTCAAATTTGTCGCGGGCGAAACAGACCAGGGATGTCAAAAAACTGTCCCTTCAGTCAAATTGCTCACGGAGCTTTGCGAAAGGCGAATTCCCCCGTCATGGCGAACCCAGTGTATCAGCGAGAGGCTTCAAACTTTTCGAGCCGGCGATTATTGGTACAATTTCGAGCTCCCTATCTCCTCACGGTACCCCGAGAGCATAGACTCGCCTGCGGGCTGGGTTAAGTACATGTTAGAAGCAAGTGTTGAACGATCAGGGGCATTCCGTCCGAACCTCCTCGGCCACAGAGAGGTGCCGTTTATCCGGACACCCCCGGAAGGGTCCCTGGAGCACGTCGAGCCCATTGCCATTTCGCGAACGTGGGAAGATCAGCTACACTACGATATCGTCATTTCGGGCAAATCTTTCCCGCTGGGTGGGCAGGTCCCCATTGCCTTTAAGCTGACGCCCCTGGCGAAGGTCTCGCTGCATCGCATCAAGGTGATTGTGACCGAGAACACCCAGGTCGTGGCGAATAACAGGACATATCATAGAGTTGATGGGTCGAAGAAGGTGCTCTTGTTCGAGAAGCGCGCGGATTCGCAGAGTACTAGTGCATTTCCCGGTAGTGTTTGTAGGGTAACTGCTGGTGGCGGTGTTGCGTATGATGCTCGAAGAGAAGCGGCCGAGGGAATAGAATATGTGAACCCACGGAACACCAATCTGCTGGGGGATCTGGAGGAGAGCTTTGAAGTCGGCCCGACGGAGATGGAGTTCAATGTGCAGCTTCCTACCTGCACAGAACTGAAGAAAAGAGACCCTATTCGTTCGCTACATTTTGATACTACGCATGAGCAACTGCAGATACACCATTGGATCAAGGTGAATTTTCTTTTATCTTTTCTTTTCTTTTCTTATAGAAATATATCTATTTTTTCACACATATACCCATTACCACCGCATGTTAGCAGGCGGAGACAGCAACTAACAAACTGAACAAAAACCAGATCGTTCTCCGCCTCTCGAGAACAGACGAAAGAGACCCCAGCAAACGCCGCCATTTCGAAATCTCCATCGACTCCCCCTTCCACATCATGTCCTGCCTTGCCACGCAATCCAATATCTACCCGCCCGCGTACTCCTCGCCGATCCAACCCGCCGTCCAACGCCAAAATCTCTACTGCGGCTGCAAGATCGCCCAGCGAGACTCCACCACCCCGCCATCATCCTCTAGCGGCAGCAGCAATGGATCCGGCCTAAACAACTTTGCA